AGAAGTAGGAGTGCCACACGTCGTGTCTGTATTTGTCGGCATTTCTGCCTGTCTGCCTTAAGCGGCCGTTCCACAATTTAAGCAGCTTCTCACCACCTGACCTTGTACTTGTAGAAACCTGCTTGACCCATCACAAGCGACGCAACTTGACGAGCATCCCCCGATGATCTTAAACCAAAACGGCATGCAATCTTCGGAGTCTCCAAGACTCAAACCAAGTGCAGACCACGATTTCTGACGTCCTTGCTGTCACCAGCTTGCACGCGTAGCACACCCCCCCGCATTTGGATGTCTCCAATGAGAAGGACCGAGCTCCTCCCATCCAACCCTTTAAGCAAGTGTGCCGTAGCCTCCCGCGCCAAGTGCCCTGCAAAAAGCGACGGGCCCGTGCAGAAAGTACCCTCCAGCAAACACGCGCCCAAAGTGTTCGAAACTGATGACGCCTACATTAAATCTCCGAGTCAACGAAGTGGCCCTTCAAGAGCAATCTCAAATGTCTCGATGCAGCGTTCTGAGCTCGACTGACTCGACGACAATCAGAATCAAAACCGCAAACAGCTCCTGATATCGTCCTAAAATGCATCCACCCAGTTGCTTGAACAGCCGTCTGAGGTGGAGGGACTGCGAGGGGAGCCACGCCATCCGACAAGCATACGAGATTACTTGTGCAGGTGGCTTTCTCGCAGGCTTGGTCTTCCCTTGCCCATGACAGGTGCACTCGCTTTGGTGTGGGGCTCACCGGAAGGATGGCTGTCTTGGGCTTGGTGCTAGTCTGTCACTACTCACAGCACTTGGAGTTCTGTGCCTCAAGCTGATCCGTGCATCCTCACCTACCTCACGGTGCCGGGGACTTTCTTTATGATCGAAATTGGTGAGCTCTTGGCGTCTGTCGGAGGTCGCCTAGGAGTCGATGTGTACGTTGGATGCTAATATCTCCACCGCCCACTCTCCTGCGTGGGCGGTGGAGATATTGTGCACTTGCACAACTCCATATGGGACTTGATTCTCTAAGCCGACTGGCTGGGGCCGGGTTCGGTTCCGGCCGTTGGTGTGAGAGGCGCAGGGTGGCAATGCGCCCAAAACTTCCTTCACCGGCGGTGGGAACCCCTGTCAAGGCACCAGCTGGCGGTCGTGCTGGCGCGTGCTGCAGGGAGGGCGTTACGACGCCGCAGACTCGGGAGGGTCTCGGTGACGAAGTCTCGGATTGCGGCTGCGGCTGCGGCGGTGGCTGCGCTAGACTTGGAGCAGTGAGGAGCAGAATCGTGCTTGAGCTCTGCCGCCTTCTGGCCGCGACCCCCATTCCCGGCTCGAAGCCCAGGGTCTCGGCCAGATTTGCTGTTTTGCCCGATCGGTGAGTTGACCTCGCCAACAAGCTAGCCTGTCGGGCCTTTCGTGATCGAGCCTGCTCGTGCCCACTTGAACTGCATGCGCCGCCGCCAGCTATGGTGCAGACGCATGCAGCTGGCGCAGTGGTGAGGCACACCCTGGCCCTGCTCCTGGACTGTGAAGCGGGAGTGGTTTCATCACCGTCGGTGGGGTGGGTCTTGCGTGGAGAGGCCTGCTGTCTTTGTGGTGACCACGCTCGGGCCCGTGTGACGCGCCCGTGTGACGCCAGCGTGAAGCGCGCGTCTGGGCGCTTGACTGCGACGTGCCAGCTGATTGGCTCCGCGCCAGACACAGACAGCGGTGACGAGCTTGACCACAGCATCCTCGCTAATGATTGTGCAGTGCCCATGGACTGCAGGCGCACGGCATTGCATTCCTGAACTGCGGCCCCTTGGTGATAGAGGGCGAGCTGGCTGATCATGCTCTTGGTGCGATTGTTGGAGTCAAGCAACCAGAAACCGCGCTTTTGCCCAACAATCGAGGTCACATTCGGATGAGACTTCTTCCGGTGTTTGTATTTGGCAACCGACACCTCCACGTCTTCGTTCGGCGTATCCATTCAGCAGGTTTGCTACATCCATCTGGCTCAGCATCAACGTCCACGCTGCACTTCTTTGCCCCGGCGTTCACGTCTCTTGCGCTAGGGTTGCGGAGCCACAGGCGCCTTGGCGCCCGTGCTAGTAGGCGCCTTGTGCCCTTGCCATCCGCTGCGCGCAGTGCTTTGTTTCCCGCGGGCTGCGTTTGACAGCGCAGTGAAGGAAGCCAGGCTCTGGCTCTGCCAGTTTGCCCCCGCTGCGTCTTTGTGGAACGAACGTTCAGTGCCCTTCGAGTCGTCTCATCATAGCCAGGTCGAAGACCATCGAATTCCGCAAATATCCGCTGTAGCAGGTCAAGATGTATTGCTCATCGACAAGACGCGAATCAGGCATGTTTTTGGCATTTTTTGGCTGCAGGGTGGCGCGATGCGTCTTCTAAGGATTCGCTTGTTGGCGTTTCGTCGTTTTGGGGGATGCATGTGAGCAGCCAAGCTACACGTGCAGGTTGCAGAGACCCCGTACCTGCGTAGGTGCGAAGCATTGTTTCCCAAGATGCTGAGCTGAATGCTGGCCATGAAAAGATGATGTGGGCTCGGGCTGCGTGCTGATGCGCGGTGTCTCGCTCTCGCTTGACGTTGGGGCCCCTGCGCTGCGCCGCTTATTTTCACGAAGTGTTAACATTCTAAAATAAAGATTTTTTTTCTCTCTCTCTCTCTCTCTCTCTCCCTCTCCCTCCCTCCTCCCTCCCTCCCTCCCTCCCTCCCTCCCTCCGTCTCTCTTTTTCTCGCTCTCGCTCAACGTTTGGGCCCTTGAGCTGCCACTGTTTGGCATTTTGTACTTGCGGGCATGAAGAGAGAAAAAGTACGCATTCTGTTTGAGAGCTTTCTGGCGGGGCAATTTGCTTTGCACGGAGTGCTTGCGGTCTCTGCGTATTCTCCCGGGCCAGCTGATATAAAGCCATCACCCCGTCGGTGTGCATTTGAAGTCAACGCTGCCACTTAGCCCACAAAGGAACTTAGCGGATGTCACTCTCATTTTTTTGTTGCTTCTCCGTCAGATCGTGTCATCGTCTGTGAGCTTCAGTTCTCGCTTTCTCTCTTTCAGGCGCTGGTTCTCCCTTGTAGTGACAACAGTGACAGCAGCGATCGTCATCCATCTCGAAGACATGGCTGCTTAATTGTTCTTTCCGCACCTTCTTTGTCACATTAGCAATGGTTTGCTGGCTGTCAGTCCGGCGAACATGTCTGTTGAGTTGTCGACGAAGTCTCCCGGCAATAGTGTGCCCTCCATTGCCATCCTCGATGAGTTGTTGTTGGCATTGCGATGCTGCGTTTTTGAACTTCCTGCTTGCCGGTGGCTCCACTTAGCACTTTAAAGTGCCGGGAGAGACACACACGACAGGCACTTCAGGAGGACAGCCGCAAGTGGTTCCACTCAATGTCCATGCGTTGGCTCCTGAGAACAAATCGCAGTGGTGAAACCCACATCTGCCACGAGCCCAGGATCGAACTGCCCCGAGAAGTTCTCCCTGGTTGATGAGGTTCGCCGTGGGGCGATCACATTGTGCTTGAGTGCTATATGGGGTCAAGATCCAACGGGTTCAGGCCCTCATCTTCTTTTTTCTCTTTGAGGCTAGTGGGCTACAATCGAAATTGTCTTCGTTTGTCTTGGTCTGTCTTGGTATTGAAGGACAACTATGCCCACTGCCGTCCCCCGCAGACAACACCAGCATTTCATGCACACGTAGCAGACAAATCGACCTTTCATCCCCAAATCGACGACAGTCGCGTTTGGCGAACCCTGACGTCCAAAAGTGATGACAGTTCGCATTGGGTGAAGCCGGACATCCAACAGCGGCGACAGTTACGAGGATGGCGACATCGATGCTTGCGGCTTTGGCGGGAGCGCGATTTTCAACATCGCGAGCTGCAAATTCACACAGCGAAACCCAGCCAAAGGCCCAAGACGTAAGGTTCCATTCTCGGGACGCTCAGCGATGCAAGCCTCGAAGGGACCTTAGCAGAGATTTCGATCTCCACGCTTAAAGTATGGGAGCACGATTCGACAACATGTTTCGAGCCCTCGAGGAATCTGCGCCAAGCCCGTGCTCCGGAAAATGTAAGCATTTACTTAATTTACTTCCAAACTGCGACCACGAGGAATAGCGTCCGCTTTTCGCGGGCATTTCGCAGTGCCGTGTGAGCAACTCAATCTAACTTTCCTTTATTCTTAGCGAAAAATCCCCATGGTGTTGGCACGCTGTTGGGGAGCATTATATTATCTTGCATTATATTGTATAACATCATAATATTGTGTGGATTTTTGTTATGCATGATCTACTGTTATTACATATACTAGTGAAACTTCAAAAGCCACCCAAAACACAAACTCAAAGCTTCAAGCAGCAAGTCGCAGCAACTACTTTAGCACTTTAGCTTCAACAAGCAGTCCAAGCCAAAACTTGGCAACCTATTTCCAAAGTTTGTATACTTAGCAACTTTTTTCCAAAGTTAGTATCATCATGTAACACCCGTAAGATTTGGACCCCGGATAGCGCTCAGTTATGGAGGTTGATGCATTTAGATGGATGTTGCTGTCAAGGTCGCACCCCGCAAAGTCACGTTGGGAGCCGCAGGAGTGTGCCATTGGGACCCGTGAGATCTGGCGTGTGGGGGCATTAGAACATATTGGAGATTATTGGAGCATGGAGACCTGCAAAAAGCTGAGGTCGCAAACGCGTCAATTCAAGTGATCTGGGCGGAGTCTGCAGATGCTGCTGGTGCTCCGTTTGTACTGTTAGGGCCTGTTAGGGGGACGTCATGAAATTTTCAGATGACGTGTCGTATCACGATTCAAATATTGCGACATTGACCACATCGGCATGGGATGAGATACGGGGAGAACAGAGTCGCAATTGAGTCTCGATGCATCTGCGGTGTTTCTTGCGTTCTTCATTTTCTTGCTACAGTCTCAGAAGTGTTGGATACTTTTGCTTCCTTTGGCGGCCTTTTCGTTTCGGCTCTGGCTTGAAGCCGAGAATCGACAGCTCAACTGGAGGTCTGGCAAGAGCTTCCGCGGATGAAGCGGAAGGTGAAGCGCAACGATCGCAAGGAGTGTCAGAGCCGTCAGAGCCCAGAGCTCAAGAGCTCAGAGCAGAGCTCAGAGATGGAAGAGATGGAAGAGATGGAAAGGGACCAAAGCAAACAGACCTTCCAGGTAGAGTTTGAGTTCTACGATCCTGATGACTCCGATTTCCACAATGTCCGAGAGCTTCTCCAAACGGGTGCCCTGCGTTTCTTGGACTTGGACTTCTCAAGCCTGGCGGACGACATCGTGGAGCAGGTGAACATTGGGACCACGATCAAGTCCGGGGAAAGTGAGGGCGAAGGAGGGGAAAGTGAAGGCGAAGGCGGCGAAGGCGGCGAAGGCGAAGGCTTGCAGGACGCAGCCCTCTGCGGCTTCCTAACCGCCCTGAATTTGCGGCAGTTCTCAGAGAAGACCTGGTGCAAGAGCTTGGTGTCCTTGTTGGAGGCAAAAGCTGAAAGTGCGGGCCCTGCAGTCTCGGAGAAGCTGCAAAGCTTTCTTCCACAAGCCATGGCCTCAACCGCCACATCCGCCACATCCGCCACAAGGGCGAAGACACAGAAGCCAGCACAGCAAGCACAGCCAGCACAGCCAGCACAGCCAGCACAGCCAGGGTTGCTGGTCTCAGAGCGCTTCGTGAACTTGCCCCTGAACCTCGTGCCTGCGCTGCACACGGCGGTGCTGGAGGACATCCGCTGGTCTCAAGAGACAGAGCACTGCCCGAGCGAGGAGAGGGTTGACATAGCGGATTTGGAATCCCTGAATAGGTTATTGATGAAGATTGAAATATGACAAATATGACATGACATATGCCAGGAGCGGCCCTTCTATTTCTTCACTCACTTCTTGCTCCTGGCGCCATGCCGGGCCTCCGACACAGGAACGTTTTGTGAGTCCAAGATGCGGTGAGTCTCTTTTGTTCAGGCTGGTGCTTAGGGCCCTCACCTACGTGTTTTTCAAGTTGGGAGGTTGGAGGGGGCGGGGGGGAGGGGGAGAGGGGGTCGAGCGTTCGAAGTGTTTTGGTCGTAGCTGGTCTTGTTCACCCTCTCCTCGGTTTCGGGTACAACCCTCCACGATCTCTTTAACAACCCACAAAAGCATGCCTGGATCCAGAAGTTGACAGAGTGAGACTTAGCTGGAAAGGGGCGAGGCGGCGAGGGGGAATTTGAATCAGAGAGATCTGCAAAAGCCCAACTCTGATCCGTGCCAAGCGGAAGCCACAACTCGTAAGGAGGTCACCCGCATTCCTGTCAACATTTTTTGTTAGCTTTCGCCAAATTGCCGCAAGGAATTTGGGAGGGGGGGTCGCACAGAAGTAAGAAACATGAAGAAACGAGGCTCCGCCGTTCCATGAGCCGCTCTTGAAGCCTTGAAGCCTTGAAGCCTTGTTAAGCCTTGTTAAGCCTTGTTAAGCCTTGAGTCTGAGTCTTGTTGTTTGAACAAGTTTCCTTTGTAGTTTTTTCTCTGAAAGCTGCTGACAACAGCGCAGGCTGCCGGCTGGATGGCCGCAGCATCGCCTTCGCGCGGCCGGAGGAACGGACGGTTTGAGCGTTCTCTGTATTTAGAACTGAGAGTCACCCTTTGCTTTTTTCTGAAGCTTTTTTGAGCAGAGACGCGTCTCTCCTCTCTCTTCTTGTGTCTCGCAGGATGAAGCCTTGGCCCGAGTGGCCTCCGTGGCCTTCAGCTTCCCCAGCTTCCCGGCCCTCCCGGCCTCGCCGAAGACGACGGAGACGGAGACGGCTCGCTCCAAGCCACTCGCCAACAACTCACGCAGTGAGTTCAAAAGAAAACAGAACAAAAGAGCACACACATGGACACATACACACCCACCCTTACACGAGCGCGCGCGCACAGTGAGAACAGGGAGCGCGCTCAGTCGCCTCTCTGTTTTCTCTCTCACGCCTCGCCTCCTTGTTTGTGTCTGATATCTTGCGTGTTAGTTAACGTGAGCGTGAGAGCATGCGGCTTTTTTTGGAGTGGCACAAGGAAAAGGCGTCGTCCGACTGCGACAAGACCGTCTGGGTCCGATGGAACAGAGCGCGTGGCCAATGAGCGCGTGGCGGTGCTTGGCCTCACACGGTCGAACTACGAAAAGGCGATCGCCGGACTAAGGGAGGTGCTGGAGGAGCTGGAGAGCAAAGCCAGAACCGCCCCAGAACCGCCAACAACCCTTCAAGAGTTTGAAGACGAGCCGGCAAGGAGAAAGCTGAGAAAGCCCCCAAGAAGAAATCCCAAAAAGCCCGCAAAAAGATCGTGAACAGCGCGTAAAAGAGCCTGTGAAACTCATGAAGAGGGGCTCCACCGCGAAGGGAAGGAGGCCGTCCCCCAAGTCATGTTGCAGACTGTTGCAAGCCAGCTGTTGGCCTCCCAGCTTCATTTTCGGTATGGTGGACTGAGAGTCTCCAAGAGCCGTGAAGAGCCGCGAAGAGCTGTGAAGAGTCGACGACGGCGTGCAGAGTTCTGAAAAAGCCGAACAGCAGGTTGGAATTACTGCAAATTGCTTTGAAATGCTTTGAAGTACTTTGAATTAGTGCTTTTGTTGTGCCACTGCTGTTGCGTGAGGAGCTGTGCCTCAAGCGAGCCATGTAATCATGTAGTCACATGTAGTCCGTCAGCCTGCTGCAGTCGGGCGCTCAGGTCATGTCTGCATGAGTGTACCATAGGAAATCGCGAAATGTCATGTGGACACCATGAATGCCAGCTGGAAGCGCGAAGGCTGATGACCAACACCACATACTGTCCGCAGCTCTGGCACAGCAGCCATAAGCCGCTTTTTGCGAGATTTGAGCCGGGTGCACGGGAGGAAATGAAAAAAATCTAAGGCAAGGAATGGGTCACTACCGAAGAGGCCACCGTCACTTGAAGTTGTCTCCTTTAGGTCCCAGGAGATCCCAGGAGATCCCGTGATCCCGTGCAGGCCTTGCCACTGCCTTCCCAGCCGTTTCTCACGGCCTACATGTCCGCAAGACCCCGAGCTTGCCATCCCAGTTCACAAAAAGTTCTCAGAGTTGGCACAGTTCCACGGGAATTCCATTACGTGACGCGAGGTGCTGGCGCTGGCTGCATTGGTTTTTGGCGTTACGATCCGCAGTCTACGGCCGCAGGCAAAGAGCGAGAGAGAGAGAGAGCCTTGAATCATCTTGCATCTTTTTGTCTCCATCCCCAGATCCTCGAATGTCTCATACTTCAGATACCCCATGAGACCAATATGAGACCCCTGATTCTGTCGTCTGGATTACACTGTATTACACGGAGAAGCCACCGGGTCGGCCGGCAACACCGGACTCGGAGTGCGGACGACATCGGAGCGCGACCAGCACGAGTCAGGCAGACTCAAGAAAAACATGAGGCAAAAGTCAGACAGCGCGAGCTTGGAAAAGCAACACTGGAGTCAGCTGAGAACACCCTGGACCGAGTGTGAAAAGGTTGTTCAAACATGTTCAAACATGTCCAAACATGTCCAATGACGAGGTGAAAAAGCTACGAAGGGTCCATTTGAGACTCACAGAACCTACACGCGGGCACTGCTCACGGTAGGCCCAAAACGCCTCACTGCCTCACTCAACACAGCCAGAGTACGGAGACGCAGACCTGGCCACGCTCAATGCATCGTCCCGCATACAGCGCAGTGAGAAGTCCATGAAAGAAACAGGAATGCGGAGGGCGAACGAACGAAAAAAACCATCATACTGAAATGCATCCGAAGTGAATACATAAACACAATAACACATGTTATCAAAGTCACAATTCGCACAAGAATGGAAAGCATCGCTGTGAGAGCATCGCTGGGAGAACAGTGCCCTGAAGGCATCCGATGACATGCATATTGCGTTTGCACTCGACGAACTGTGAAACATCGTTGTTCTTAACCCCCCGCCCTCCCCACCTCCTTGTGTGGATGGGTGTGGATGGTGTGTGGAGGGGTGTGGATGGGTGCGGTCTCTCTAATCCACATTGAAGTCAATCCAGGCTGGCCTTTTTTGATTCGACTTTGCGCCTCAAGTCAGTATTTTATCTTCGCGGTTTTGTTTGGCAAGACGTGAATGAAGGGCATGTGGCAGCGGAACGAACAGCGGAACGAACAGCCACATGCCGGGTTTGCCTCATTGAAACTTTTGCGGGATAATTGTCATACTGAGCCGCGGAACGAAGTGAGGGACAAAATGTCTTGTGCGACGCCACATGGCTTTCGACTTAGGGCAACGTCCGACAAGCTCGCGGTTTTGCACCACGTCGCGACATCCGATGGTGATCTCTGAATGCATCGACATGCATTAAAGACAAGCTTCGAAAAGCCAGCACATCACATCACATCACATCACCGTGTTCGTGTGCATAGGCCGTCCGTCGCCTGCTAGCCGATGCCGGAGTGGCGATGCACAAGGACTCTGACCATGCGATTGCGTTGCGATGGCAAGCTTGCTTTTCTAGTTTGGGTTGCAGCCGTTTAGTACTGACATTGCGATTGTGCAGATGCAGTGTAGGTCAAAAAAACAGCAACGGAGATCGAGCGCGTGGAGCTTGGAGAATTTTCAGCGTGTTTGCACCCAACATTTGCAAAGTCGACGCAATTTGACCTTTCATATTTCAGAGCTTTGAGCCACTGAGGCAAGATCTTCCATCTCTGTGGCCTTCTGGTGCTCTTGGCGTTTGCAGGCGGTGGCTGTGGTGACTTCTTCCCAATGGCAGGTTCCCCTGGCATATCAGCTACTGCTCACGCACGGCGTGTCCAGAAGCTAGCGCCAAAGATGGCGCATCGCATGTAACAATGTATTCACAACGCTATTGAGGTGGGGGCTGTGCAGTCATGTTGGCAGTCACGTTTCTTTGCTCGCTTGCTCAGGTTTCTGTGTGCAGCTGTGTTGGCTCATCACTGTCCTGGGGGTAAGCCGGGACCTCGGGATGAAATCTGGCATTCACAATTCGTGCTGTTGCTGAATTTGCTGATTGCTGCTGCCTATTGGCCTATTGAGCCTATCGCTGTGTGAGGTGCCGATTGGCTGCGTGTTCACGTCCCTTTCGTTCGAGATCACTGGCCTCTGAAGTCCATCCTTCGCGAGAAGGAGGCGAACCAACTCTGTGGAGGAAGCGGCCCGGAGCAGTTGACTCTGTCTCGTTTGCCCGGCATTTGTCTTTCTCTGAGGCTATTTCTCCTTGGGTTGCACTCTGGCCATCCAAATATTTGCGCCCGTGCCAGACCCCGAGATTCAAAGAAAGAGGCTGAAAAGAATGCCTGTGGTGTGGCAATTTCTCAGAGCTGTTTTGTGTTTCTGGAGATGTGGAGAGAAGAGTGGTGTAAGTCGTTTCAGTGCTTGAGGTGTACGCTTTACGCGCTCTCGTACGGGCCCCCAGACCCACCGACCCACCGACCCACCGACCCACCGACCCACCGACCCACCGACCCACCGACCCACCGACCCACCGAGCCACCGAGCCACCGAGCCACCGAGCCACCGAGCCACCGACCCACCGACCCACCGACCCACCGACCCACCGACCCACCGACCCACCGACCCACCGACCCACCCACCGACCCACCGACCCACCGACCCACCCACCGACCCACCGACCCACCGACCCACCGACCCACCGACCCACCGACCCACCGACCCACCGACCCACCGACCCACCGACCCACCGACCCACCGAGTCGGTCGGTCTGCACCGCTGTTTCAAAGCCGTGCAAGCTTGCCTCAAAACATAAGAATCCTGCCACACATGAAGCCCGTCGTAGTCTGTCCAATCCCCAACATGCGAGCGTCGTGTTTGCAAGTAGGGGGGGGGGGGGGGGGGGGGGGGGGGCTGCACCGTGCGAGCTTGACTCGAAACAAATCCTGTCCATGTCGAGTGAGATCCATGTCCCGCAGCGCCCGTAGAAGATGTTCCTGAAGAAACTTCATGCTCCGACGTGGTGCCATAGCAAAAGCAAGCGTGAACTGCAGCTGCACGTGTAAAGCAAAATCCTTTTGTAGGACGCCCAGAAACCCAAAAACATACCTAAAAAGAACCCAACAAGCACCCGAACAAAAAACTGGCTCTCTGTATACCCCGGTTTGCTTGTGTGATTTGCGAGACAAAGATTATCGCAAAGGGGCTTGGGGGGGCCCCCAAAGCACAAAAAGGAAGGGCAGACACAAAGGACTCTTCTCTGTTCGTGGGAGTTCGTTCGCGTTGTTCTCTCTAACAAAGCCAGAGAGTATGCGGAGAGAGAGAAAGAGAGAATACGCGCAGACTTTTTGACTTTGAAGTCGCAGAACTCTGTCGAGTACCTAGCGCGGAAAGGGAGACAGACCCGATAAAGAGTCCGGCCCAGTTGGCTGTACTGTGACATCTCCGTACTCGCATTAAAATGCCCGCAGAATACGCGCAGAGAGAGAGAGAGAGAGAGAGAGAGAGAGAGAACGAGTGCATGTTTCTTCCGCCTGGCCTGTAAAAGGGAAACTGACACGACTGAGGTGATCTTCTACTTATGGGGGAAACTTACCCTTTCTTATGGTGTGGTGGTGCGGTATCACTTACGTAGGGGGGGAACCCTCTCCCTTGGGGTGTCCTGTCGTTGTGAGTTCCTCATCTTTCGTTCCGTGTCACGCCGACTCCGCGACCACAAGGGCGCGACGCAAGTGCGCGGGGTCAGGGGAACCTTTCCTGGGCCTGAGGCCCGGTAGAAGAAGACGAAGGAGAAGAAGAAGAAGAAGAAAAAGAAGAAGAAGAAGAAGAAGAAGAAGAAGAAGAAGAAGAAGAAGAAGAAGAAGAAGAAGAAGAAGAAGAAGAAGAAGAAGAAGAAGAAGAAGAAGAAGAAGAAGAAGAAGAAGAAGAAGAAGAAGAAGAAGAAGAAGAAGAAGAAGAAGAAGAAGAAGAAGAAGAAGAAGAAGAAGAAGAAGAAGAAGAAGAAGAAGAAGAAGAAGAAGAAGAAGAAGAAGAAGAAGAAGAAGAAGAAGAAGAAGAAGAAGAAGAAGAAGAAGAAGAAGAAGAAGAAGAAGAAGAAGAAGAAGAAGAAGAAGAGAGAGAGAGAGAGAGCGAGAGAGCTCTCTACCTCTGTCTCTCTCTCACTCTTTCTCACTCTCTTCTCAACGAACACACTCATAGAGCTCTCTTTTCTCTTTCAGAATAGTCGGTGAGGATCGCGATGACCTCCATCCTCTTCCTGGTGATGGGCGACATGGTCGCGGCCCTCATTGGCCGTTCCTTCGGCCAGTCCATCTGCAGCCACTCGGCTAAGCCTCTATGACTAGTCTGACTAGTCTCTGACTGCTTCTCCGTTTGCTCTCCATGCTTGCGAGGGTGCACTCAATTTTGTGCATACGATCGTACTTTTTCCATGCTGAGATTAGTCACACAGTCGAATGTATGATGGTGTTGAAGATTGTGAGGCTCAGCGCATAGCTATTTACTTTCACAATCTTCATCTTCATAGTCTTGTTCCTCCGCCAGCAACTGGTGGAAGATAGTGAGTTCTCAAAGGTGCTGAACGGTTCTGAACGCCATGGCTGGACCTGTGCCAGACGCCGGACCCAAGGCCCGTCGATATAGGGCAGATACGCCAACGCCGGCGCAGGGCTGGACCTGGATAAAGTGGCAGCGCGAAACGAGAGAAGATTGAATGGGTGCGGCAATAGAATCGTGAAGCACAAGACGTCGGTGCAAATCCTACATCGTGGTCCATCGCCAGAAGATCGCCCTTCATATCCGCTTGCGTGGCAAGGCGCAAGGCACAAGGTGTGCAGCTTCACCGGCTCGGCTCAGGACCGGCCCACCTGCAGACGCGTGGTCGAACAGCCGCAGGCGTCTGAGACCGAAGGCGAGCCGCAGGCGACAGGGCGGTACTCATCCAGCAGGGCCTCATCTTGTTTTGACCTGTCACCCCCCTCTGGGGGCAATGTCATTGAGCCGTCGCAGATGCCATTGGCTACCTATGACCGCATCGATTCGTATTTCTGGGCGCTACTTACAAAGCTCGCGATGCATGCTGCGTGCGCGAGGAGAAGCTTGTGAACGCCCTTCCGCAACGTGGCAATCTGGCTGTCGACAATTGAGATCATACTGAATGGTACTTCCAGTCTTGTACCGCAGCGCCCAAGCATGTGCATGTGCACACCGGTCCCCCGCTACTGACGCAGCCATTGAAGCCATTGAAGCCATTGAAAGTGCAGTGTGTCTCGCACGTCGCTTGCAACTTTTCCTTCTTGCTGCTCCGATCAGGCTGCGTGCGTAAGTTATATTTAGCTGGCATCTAACTCAGGGCCAATCTGACGGCTGAGTTAACATTAGCGTGTGTATGCCTTGCATATATGAAGGCAAAAAAGGAGCGCCCCGCACCTGCGTGTAGTTCCTTGTTGAATCGTCTGACTTGAAATGTAGATGATCAGTTTTTTCTCGACGTGTCCTAACTTTGTACGCCTCCTCCGTTGCACAAGTCATTAAGTGGCCTCACCGGAAGGCACTAGCAGTGCTACCGTGGGCCACGTTGTTTCAAACACAAGAAAGGGTGTGTGTGTGTGTGCAGTGTATTCTGCGTTAGGGCTTGCTGCTGGTAATCGTCTGCCCATTGGAGTCTAGGTGACGTCAACCCATTCTGTTCACTGCTGGGGCAAATGATGGCAAATGGCCTGGTCCAAACACAAGGTCAAAATGATTGTTTTCATGGGTTACTGGTGCCGGGTTAGAAGGGTAGAATCATCCGCTGGCCAAGAAGTGTGCCGTTCGGTGCAATGTTGTGCCACGTTTTTGAGAGCAGCTGTTTGACAATTCTCCGCATGTCCGGCTGGTTCCGCGGCCCGAAGTCCCTAGAGTTTTGCAGGTGCCACGGTTCGGATTGTCAGGTTTCGTGCCGAATCTCACCAAGCGGAACGCTCATGATCAGTTCATGCATCTTTTTGTACCTTGCTCGAAAACACACGGCCGCATGAAAAGAGCAAGCGCCAGCGAAGAAAACATGACTGCGTTCATTGTGTTCCAGGTATAGGCATTGGTCCCGGCGGCAAAAAATCCGTGGAGGGTAGCACGGCCATGCGACTTGGAGTTGCACAAAACCATTCATGTTTCGAAGTTACTTGGGCGCATCGGCTTAGCTGAGGTTCATGACTTGCTTCGTATCCTGGCTGGAGTGGCCATCTTTTGCGTAACATGATCAGGAACCTTCCGGGGCTCCTTTATCTAAGGTCTTCGGCTGCACATTGTTCAGCCCTGTTCACTTGCGAGAATACGCTGTGGCGATTGGCTCGCTGGTTGCCACTCTCACGGAGCTCTACGAACCATTTGGCATCAATGACAATGCACTTCGCACAGCATCAGTCCACGGTACGCGAGACCATGTGGGAAGTGAGCCATAGTGAGTGCACCAGAGGACGTCACCTGAGGTGACCATTCCGTTGCTGAGCATCTTGATCGAATAGTCATTGTCATAGTCGCCTCTGTTGCATCAGAGGGATTTTTCCATGTACCACGTGCATCGGCGCTCTCAATCTCAGGTGGTGTAGCGCTGACCTTTGGCTTCGCGCGGACATACTCCTGCGAGCCTGCACGAAGTCCTTTGTTGTGGTACTTGTAAGGTGTTGAGTACCTTGAGTAGCTAAGTAGCTTGTGGTGTCCAGTGGCTGGGACAAGAAGGAGGCTAAATTGGCGTCCTTGAAGATACTTAGCTTGCCTTCAGCCTGCTCGGAGCTTGCTCTCAACTTGCTTTCATGCCCTCCCCGAACTCATGCCAAAACAATTGGCGCACGAGGAGAGGGGGACACGGATAGTCAGCTTCCGTCCCGCACAGTGTATGTTGCAGAGAATGAAATTAATATGAGCGAGAGCGTAGCAAAGAGCTCCGGAAGAGTGCGAATCACTTGCGAGTTGTTTGCTTCTAACAGCGGAGACGGAGACAGCAGGTCACCACACAGCGCTCTGAAAGCACAGCATCTGCACTGTGCATCCGCACTTCTCTGACTCTGCGATTGTGCATTCATCACCCACCGTGCAACGCATCTCCTGTCTGCCGCATTTGTGCTCAACGGTCAACGTTGGTTTTTGGTTTTTGCTAAGCAGGCTAAGCACAGCTCAAATGAGCTCATGGGCTTACAGAGCTCGCATCGCTCTCGCGTTTCCCCGCGAGCAGGTGGCTTGGTGGTGGCTTTGGGCAGCATCTTGCATAGCATTGGCAGCATTGGCAGCATGTTCGGGGCATTGCGCCGGTGAGGGTGACGGGTTTCAGTGTAGAGCTGCGTCGGTGCGTTGATCTGATCCGTCTTTGGCTCAGCACACACACGTCTTGAAGCCTTCCATCGAAGCGACATCGTCGGAGGCCATGGGCTGGGGGTAGGGCGGGCTGCAGACGTTTGTCTTCGACGGGAGTTGCAGGCAATGGCTGCTGGTCAGGGACAGGATCCGACCCTTGAGGCCTCCCAGCTAAGTTTGAGACGAACCGTGGTGTGTAAAGTGCTTCATGATATTCAGAGTGCGTAAATTTTACATTTCAACCAACTTGTTCTTCAACTCCTGTTGTGCTTTTGAGGCGGCCAAGTCCGGAAAGAAGACGAAGGACACCCAGGGAGCCGGGACATGGGGGACCCTGCGCGTTGCACTCGTTGCACTCGTTGCGCTCGTTGCACGCGTTGCACGCCTTGCACGCGTTGCGTTGCATTGCTTGCTGCATATGTCGTTGTTTATAGTGGTGCAATGTTGCAAAGTGGGCATCACAAACTGAGAGCATGTGCAGAAGTATGTGGAAGTATGTGGATATTCTATTTCTGCTGCGAGGTGAGTGGAAAGGGTGCGGTCACTGCAAAAGCGACAGGTGCCCGACGAAGTTTTTGCATGAGTTTCAATTGTAGCCACGCCAAAGCGACGTGAGCAACAGTTTGAAGCCAGAAGCCTTGCCGGGCCAGGTCCCATCTTCATGCCCCCGCAGGTGTCATCTACATACTGTGGAAGAGAGCGCTGGAGAGTGAGAGGGCAGGGCTGTCTCAAATCCCATGGTGCAGGCGGTGATTCAGCCCACTGTGCAGGTCCTCGACCTCAGCTCTGACAGTGCAAATCAAAATGTAACCAGCCATGGCATAAGTCGCTAGAAGTAACCAAGTAGGAGCGTCTCCTGCTTCTCATCTTCACTGAATTATTCTGGAATTTCTGGAGGTGCCTCGGCACTTCCCTGGTCACTTCATGCCGCACAGGTGCCAGCCCTGACAGTCCTTAGAGATGCAATGGGTACGCAATGCCTCTCAATGCCTCTCAATGCCTCTTTGAAGCCCTTGGAGTCAGACAGACATGTGCTGGGAAGGCAAAGTGTATCAAGTGTACTTGTCGGTTCATGTTACTAGCGCCAGGGCGTAGGCCCAGGATAGCGACTGCATGGAGGGGCATGGAAAGGCCAGGCAGATCGGGTCAGACACCTACAAAACAGTCGCGTCGAGTATCATTGGAGGGCTCGCCTTTAGAAAAGCGCGTAGTGCCTAAATGCCCGCAGAGAAGCCCGCGGAGAGTCCAGGCGAGTATCCTGCCCACCCCCAAAGAATCCAGCAGAGAGATTCCCAGAGAAGCCCGCAAGAATGCTGCCGAGTATCCCTGAAGTGGCTACTGTCTGAGAATTCCGTGGAGGGTCCCGCCCCGGAAGCCTGCGGCGAAGTATCCGTAATTATTCGTTTGGCGACGGCAAGATGACTCCCGCGCTAGGTAGCTGGGGATGATCGGGGTCGACCAAAAAGGGGGGGATATGTGTGTGTGTGTGTTTTTGCCTCGTTCTCTGGTCTCCTGGTCCGTTGGTCTCTTTGTCAAATTGTTCAATACAACCATCCCGAAATAGCCCAGAAGGATCCACAATGATCAGGATGTATCTGAGAATACAACGATGCCAATTGGTATTGGCCCAAGACTGGACAGAGCTGGCTGGGGAAGATGATTAGTCGGTTCTGAGTGTTGTGATTGTTACACCGATTGTCGCAAGCGGAGCGATCTCGTGGTTTTAGCCTCCTGGTCGGGCCTGCGGAGTCGCAGTGAGCGGAGTCGCAGTGAAGCTACTTAACATGGTGGAAACAGCTGTGTGGTGAACATGACATGGTTGTTGCGGACACGAGGGCTGCCAACAGGGCTGCCACGGGGGCTGCAGTGAGATCGCCGAGGATTGTCCGGGAATTTCAACAACACCCCCTGATTATTGAGCCCAATGCCAACATATCAACATCTGTGGATGCTGAATGCTATGATGTCATGTATGTGACTCGAGACTGGGTCAGTGCCCGAGTGCCCAGAACCGCTAGAAGGATTCAGCATTAACTGCATGTGGAGCATTGAATGTTTCATTGTGGCGGAGCTTCGGCTTTTGAATCCAAAGGAGTGGGAGAGAATACTTGACTTTGGAGTGGGAGAATTTGGCAGCAAGACCAAAGTGTTTCCTCCTGAAACAATGCACAAGCCACTTGCCAAGCGATTGATGGACGAAATGGAAACGTCGGCAAATGCCATTGGTGATGTCGTGGCTGAAGCGTCACCAGCTGTCTGGCACGTATGACAATCAGCGGCCAGAAAGCGAGAGCCACGAATGCGCTGAATGAATTCATCTTGCTCAAAAAAACAGGAGCCATGTTGAGAGTTGAGAGTTGACAGTGACATATGAGAGGACGACTTGTAGACCGATTGACAAGGGCTTACAGCATGAGTTGATCCACGTCCCGCCGCCCAAGCTCCCGTGGACCACTTTCAAGAATCCTTGTAGCGCCGCTTGGTAGAACCTAGACCCCAGAGGTTTTTGGGAGACAGCATCCTAAATTCATTCCGGACCAGTGAAGTGTGCAAGAGAAGCTGAAGAGGCAAACGTTGACGCCAAAAGTAACTCGGATTTGAGTGAAAAAGGTGAAAAAGTTCCGATTCTGCGAAAGAGATACTCTCCGACGAGGGTTTTCTCTCAGCCCTCGGAACCTTCGATGTGGGGAAGCTTGGTTCGGTGGCTGAGATTCTGTGAGATTCTCTATGAGATTCCGCAGAGATTCTGTGTGAGGCTGTGTAACCACTGGAACCTGCAGGGTTGGTGCAAGAAGGCTGAGGTGCGGGAGAAATCGGCGCTTGGGGCCGTTTATGTTTGAAAAGGTCTAATGGCTGCTTTCCACTTGCTTTCCAGACCTGCACCTTCGCGCACGGGATTGAGGAGTTGCACCCAGACGCACTGTTGCTCAGAGAAGGGAAAGTGACTCAGTAATGACGGGGCAGAGTTTTCGGGCGTGTCTCCATGTGCTCTCATGCTGTCGAAGGTTCAAGCACAGTTGCTTCAGCAGAAGTGCTGCTCTCAGCCCTGGCTTTCATTAGCAGAATCGCAGTGGCAGGTGCCTGGTGGTTGAGAGGAAGCAGACTGATGCAGAGTAATCGGCACCCTGAAAACCCTCTGACGGCTGTTGTTAGAGCTTTCCGTTGTATTGTGTTGTCGTGCAGTAACTAATAGTATAGAGTGTACTTGCATAGTCGTTTGTTCATTATCAAGGCCGGGCATGCCGCCGCCGACGGTGGATGCCTCGAGAGTACACGCCCTCCTCCCCACACTGTAGTGATGCAGCAAGTCTTCAAAGGTGACCAAAGATGGCCGCTTGGTCGTCAGCCGCCTAAAGTCCTTTGCGTGCACATCTCTTGCGCAGCTCCAGTTGGGTTCTCCCAGTTCCCCCTAGTGCCTGAAAGCACAGGTCCACGGCGCAAGCGCCGTGTCAAAGCCTGCTGGAAAGGTGCCGCCTATCTATATATCTCTATATATACCTATATATATACATATATATGCTACACCCCCCCATGGACCTACCTCTTCTTCGACTTTTCTGCACGTACCGGCCTCGGGGTGAAGGTCTCCTTGTAAAATTGACATCGGTTTTGCCGATTTTTTTGAAAGCCCGCCTTCGAAAACATTGGTTTTCCCGATGTTTTTCGAAGCCCACCCTCCAAAAACATCGGTAACACCGATGTTTTGTGAACCCATGCTCCGAAAACCTCGCAAAAACCAATAAACACCATTAACAACCATGATCCTCCAAACTACTCGGCCGGCCACCCCAGCCACTAGTCTCGAAAATCATGGATTCTATGGTTTTTTATTGGATTGTTGCGATGTTTCGGGATCATGGGTTCACTACACATCGGTTTTGCCGATGTTTTTGAAAGCCGGCCTTCGAAAAACATTGGTGTTGCCGATCTTTTTGAAAGCCTGCCTTCGAAAAGGCATTGGTTTTACCGATGTTTTCTGGACCCACGTTCCGAAAACCTCGCACAAACCGATAAAAACCATAAAAGGGTGTCAAGGTTATAAGCCTTAACTTAGAACCTTATGGGGTTCAGGTTAAGAGGTTTAGGCCTTAATATTTAGGCATTTAAATTAAACCTACGCCCATGGAGTTTAATCTTAAGGGGCCTAAACACTTAACCTTTAAGCCCTATGGGCTATAGGGTTAAGGTTTAAAGGTTTAAACCTTAAGGGTCTGTCCGGTTGGAGACCGGTGGTTATGTGATGCAGAGGGATTCGAAGCCATGGCATGAGATCGCAGCACTCCCAATTTTCAAGAACGCAACATCGAAAGTAAGATATGCTGTACATAGGACCCTTGCCTGTTATGCCACTTGATCGCCTTCATTGCCTTCATAGCTTTCATGGCCTTCATGGCTTCATGGCCTTCATGGCCTTCAGGCTTCTTTACACGTGTGGCTCATTCGGACCTGGTCCTCATAGCTGCAATGCGGTGGTGACATGTTTCACACCAACACTCCTCCTTGATTCAAGCCTTCGGCTATGAATCACCAGAAAAGAGCGTCACCACACGGCGTCCTTTCGTGGATCCATCGTTGTACACTTGCACTCCATGCAAGCTAACATGCAAAGTTTGGAGGTCTCGCCATCATCCATCGCGATTTTTCACGAACAAGGGCTTTGTCCTACTGCAAAAATTGCAGAGCTGTATCGTCCGGACACGCGATGTAGCTAAGCGAAATCCTTGGCATGTAGGCGATGTGTGGCAAGTTCCAAGACCACTCTCTGTCATGTAGATCTGCTCCGAACGCTCATAACGATCATCTGCCACTGGAACCTCTACTCGAACTGTTCTCTCACGCACTTCCGGTACATGCACAATTCTCTCACGCACCTGTGGTACATGAACGATACGTTCTTCAGGTTCCCAGGGCAAAGTCTGGATGGCCACCGATCGCCTTGTAGTTCTTGTAGTGCTCGTTGTTGAACTCATTGCCACGCTCATCGCACCGCTGACAAGGTCTTGCACTGCCTTGTCCGCATCATCATTGGTCCGCTCGAAGACTTTCTCCACTTCTGCTTCGGCTGCCAATTGAGCAAGCTGACGGAGCCTCTTAATTTTCCGGTCTCTCTTAGTCCCGAAAAATTTATTCCAGCACCATGTTCCAGACCATTTTGCCAACTCCCAACATGCTACAGCAACCACGCATGACATTGACAGCAGGAGTATCAACTCCATCGTTCCAGTCGTTGCTAATGGTTCCTTCTCGTAGGAGCTTGTTCCGGTCTGTCTCGCTTCCACTCCAATTGACTTGATTGCAGTCATCGCCAGCACCAAATCGCACAGACGGAGGTCCTCTGCAGCATGCATACGATCCAACTCAGGTATCCCAAACATTGCCCAAAGTCGCAGCAGTTCCATCAGCCTTGCCTTCGGGTGCAGTTTTGTTGGTAAATCGGCCAATTGCAGATCACCAGGGATATGTTTGACAGTCAGGTCATGCGATGCGACTCTGTCTATCACGTATGCATGCCTTATCCGAAGGTGTCTTGTTCTCCATGACCCCGGGGCACCATTCAAGATGCTTCCTGCCGCAGAGTTGTCGATCCTCAGCTCCCGGGGAACAGGCGCTGAGCAGATCTCCTCCAAGATTGCACCAACTGATTCCAAGAGCAATGCACAAGTAGCACTTTCCATCAACTCTGCTTCGCAAACGGACATGCTCACCATCGGCTGTCTACTGCGACAGGGGATCTTCCAATGACAATTGTACTTGCACCAAAGCTTCTTCCGCCAAATGGAGCAAAGGACGCATCCGAAAATCCTACGAGGGTTACCCCAAAACCACACCTATGAGTACCACCTACTGCTGTTGCTTCGGGATACTTGTTGTTCTTGCTGTTGCTGCTGCTGCTGCTGCTTGGACTCGTCATTGACTGGTGGTCGCCTCGGATCTGCACGGACTTTGGTGACTGGTGATCGCCTCGGATCTGCTCGGACTTTGGTGACTGGTGATCGCCTAGGATCTGCTTGGACTTTGGAGACCGCCCATCCACTCGGAGTTTGAGGCCAGCTGTTGCATTCAAGTAGGCGAGAACCTTTAAACCAGTCCGATACACCAGGCACGGTTGTTTTGAGACCATTGACGACATGAAATTGGTGACATAGAGGATATCAGGTCTGGTACGGCACGATAGCCATAAACACTCTCCTGTCATTTTTTGGCTTCTTCGAAGTTCTTCTTCTGAGAAGTTCTCCTCGTCCTTTGTGATGTCGGTATCACAAATCCACTCCTTCGGACAGGGCAAACCTGCTACAGCATCTTCACATAGGCCATACGATCGAACCAGATTTTCCACATATCCAGCTTGTCCCAAGGAAAACGTGCCATCTTCATACTGGCGCAGCTCCATACCCAAGTAGCGGATGCCCCCAGGTTGATTGGCATATTCCAGTTGAGCACATGGCCACTGTTTACTGATCCACCCATGCACGAGGTCCACGGTTTCAGCCTTCCCCAGGTAGAGCAGGTCATCAACATACGTCACGATGATGCCATAGAGCGTGTCGCCACTCTCTTCTTCCAGGATTATCAGCCACATTTCCGAGTCTGATCTCAGCTGCTTCAATCGTAGTTGTCCCTTGTGATGCTGAATCCTCAACGTTCTCAAGACATCAGTGCGATAGCTTGCCCAAAGCGCTGGACTCTCGCGAAGTCCATATAGAGGACGCTTTACAAGGAAGATCTCCTCCGAGGTGATGAACCCACCCTGCTGTAGTATCTTTGGTGCCAAGACGCCGTAGGAGGGTTTATCAGAGGGCCAAATAGCAAGGAGAAAGGCACCGGTGATGTCCGTCGAACCAGCTCTCCATCCTGCAAGGGTAGCTATACAGAGGGCCACTCTTAGGCTTTCGGCAGTAGCTCCAGAAGCGTATAGCAAGTCCTTCACATGGTCGTGCTCCAGGTCGATACGATTCCCGCATATCACCATACGAGCTTTACGCTTCCATCGTGGTGCCATAGGACTGGATGAAGTAGGTCGTGGTTCATTAACTGGCTTGATCGTGAACACCATCTTTCCCGGTACCAGTCGTAAACGACCTTCACCCTCCAGCCGTCGAGCCTCGTCCATGCTTATCCTCTCTAGGGCCCCTGTGTTCTTTTCCAAGTTCTGCAGCTCCTTGCCAATCGCCTCCATCCATTTCTCGAGGTTCTGCTTGACCTGTTCCAATGGCACATCCAGGGTCACTTTCAAGTCCTCCTTAAGGTTGTTCAGGTGCTCCTCCACATCTGCCACCTTATTTTCCGCAGTGAGGTTCGCGACCTTCAGGAAAACCTTCTGAACATTGTCCCGAGCGACATTGATCCTCGAATTAGAGTCCTCCAGCATGTCCCTCAAGGTTTGACGAAGTTGTTTGGCTTCCTCCATAGCTTCTTGGCTGACAATGGCTAGCTCCTCCCGGAGTATCTCCTCCTCAGCCAGGAAGTCCTCCAACCATGCCGAACGTTGTTGCAAACGTTCAATCACCTCCTCCTGAAGGTTGTCAATTTCTTCCAAGGCTAACTGGATCTCCGAAGGGACCTCCTCTTTGTCGACACCCATCCTGAATGTCACTGCATCCACATTCTTGTCCTGAGGAACCATTCCAATCATCGCAAGCATCGGTTGGAGTGACGTACTCATCGCTTCTCTCGGCTGCGCCCAGGTGTCCGGTACGTTGAACCCCAGGTCATTCAGGGCCTCTCTGGAATCCAGACCAAGGTTACTTGTCCTGGGTGTATACAATGTAACCACCAACCTTCTTCCCTTCCAGGGTTCTGTTTGGTGATACCGTCGTGGTCCGAAGCAGATCGGCTCACCTGGTTGTAGTTCTCGAACACGGCCACGCCTCCACTCTCCAGATGGTACCTTCCTCCATTCGTCATCTAAGGTGAACTCCTGTGGCATTGATTCCACCCAAACTCCACCTCCTTCGCAGAAATCCAAAGGAACCAAAACGTTTTCCCGATGCGGTTCGTTGTGGCTATCCCGGTGCATCCCCATTCCAGCATCATCCGCCACGATCAATGAGGTGAAGTTATTGTGGCCCGTGTACACGGAGATGGCCTTGGTGAAATACAGGGTTGTCCACGGATTCATTCTGGTAGATGTCAACATTCCGGCTACTCCACCATGGGTAAATTGGCCTGTTTCCGCACATGCCCCTGTTCTCCGTGTACCTCGCTTCTTCGGATTCTGGACGTTGGAGGTAGTAGAGGTCGTAGATGTTCCCATAGGGTCTTCATATCCTTCAGCTCAAACTTTTCTCCTTCCAGGTACTCCTTGGCTAGTTGCTCCACTGGGTCACAAGGCTGTTGGATGCTGGCAAGAGTTGTTTTCCCCTTAACTCGACGTTCAGGTTCAGGCCAGTGTGCTTCCAATGGCGGCGGTTGGTGAATTTTGTCGCTATCCACCAAGTACGGCCTGAAGTGCACGCTCGTGATGTACTTGCCATTATCCAAGCGAACTACCCGTCCTTGGTGTACATCACTTGAATACCCCACGAACTTGCCTTCCACCCATCGTTCGTCCAGGTCGTAGGATCCACCAGTTCCAAAGGTCTTCCCCTTCACGAAGGTGGTCGTGCCGAAGGTGAGATCCTTGTCCTCCCGTCGACCAAGAGCAAGGTCACGCTGCTGTTTCGCAGCAAAACAAGCCGCTAATGGCCAACATGTTCGTGGCAGCCCCGAACTTCTGAGGAGTGTCCGGCAGCGTGTTTTCAGTCTCTTCACCAGGGCTTCAGCTCTTCCATTCTGTCGAGGCTGCTGTGACTCTGCCGTTGTTACCAGGACATCTCTTTCAGATAGCCATGCTCTCAAAGGGTGACCTTGAAGTTCACGACCCCTATCCGAATGCACCCTAGTCAGCGGTAGCCCATCCTGGGTTTTCATTGGCTTCACAAAGTCCAGGGTCTGGTACTCGATGTCGTCGCCGATGTGCTGGTAGATCATTCTGAATCGTTCGTTCAGCTCCCTCTGATGTTCGTCCATTGGTTCATCTTTCGGCAGTTGTGTTGGTATCTCCTCCATCGGGTCGTCGTCATCCACTCCAAGCCCTAAGTCCTCCAAAGGGTCGTCATCCTTTGGCTCTTCGACCTCCGTGTTGGCTCGCTTGCCTTCCGTGGACGACTCCAAGCGAGGATGGCAGTATGCTCCCACCAGGAGGTACCTGTAGTGCTGGGCATCTGCGGTTTCACCCTTGACTCTGAAGGGTCCTGCGGTGTCTGCACTCCGGGAATATGCTGAAGGTGACAAGCATCGCCGGTGGGCCCTTCCTGTGGCCGCTGTTGCCACACAGGTTTTGCACCTGCGATCGTAGGGAACGTGCCCCGCTCGGACATGGTCCTCCCACAATGCTTGATCTCCTTCTCGGTCATCTCCTGGGGTTTCATCATTCTCGCCAGCTGCCTCCAAGATATCCCTCTTCCACCATTGGTCCTCCAAAGCTTCATGCCCTTGTAGATCTCCTCCTTCAGAGCTGTTGACCAATTTGATGGCGGCCTCCCTATGGCATTCTGTTCTTCCTCCCAGCGCTCAGGGTTAATGACCTGTCCCTCCACGTCCAGGTTGGTCGCAAGGATGTAGGGAAGTTGTCCCTCATCAGGGTTCATCTCGATGGCCATAAGCCCGAATGTCTCCCGGATCTTAGTCCATGCCATATCCTTCCAGAAACTTCCGGTACCTGGCTGTTCCATCGCCACAAAGGTCGGTCGCACCCCATGAAACTTTGAACCTCGTTGGCCCACAATCCAGACCAGCCAGAACATTTTCATGAGAAGCTCACTGTTGTCTCCTTGTCGGGGAGGGCCTCCATATAGTCCCTCCAATTGACCTCGTGCTGCCGCCCGCAGGAGTGTCTTCATGACCGCCGGATTGTTCATCAGGTTGAACCCCTTGGACTTCACGATGTCAATCTTCAACGAGAACAAAGCATCGCTTTCCACCTCCCGACCATTATCCATTCCACTGAACAGGTGCACCATCCATCTGGAGTTCATCATGGCCCTTCGGTTGGCCCGGTTCATTGGCAAACCCCTCATCATCTTAGCGCCCTCCCGGTCTGAGAAGTCGTAGTCATTGGATCCAACCATCTTCAAGATCTCCGTCTCGGTGCATGGGCCTAATGGGAAATCCGGGTCCAACATTGCCCTCCTCAAAGATTGGCGGGACCCCGTTTGTATGAACTCGTCCAGGTGCTCCTCCCAGGTGACGCCCTCTGGGTTAGGCTGCAGCACTGCCACCGTGCCCTCCAAGGTCTGGCGTTGTAACCGTTTGAGCTCGGCCTCCTCCAGCTCGCCGATCAAGTCTAAGGCCTCCGTTTCCCGCAAGACAGGACAATTTCCCACGAGCTTGGTAGGTAGGAGGCCATACTCCGGGTGGAAAACCTGGAGGCCCCTTTTCCGGTTCCACTGAAGACTACACCCCAGGGATTGTACTAGGTTTCCAAGAGGGACTATAGTGCCTGTTTCGCCCTCCATCGTCTCTGGCAGCAATGTTCCCGAGACCGTTTGTCTGAGCCTCACCACACGACCGTCCGCTAACTGCACTGAGACCCTTGTCGACCGTTGGATCTCATCTTCCGACTTTGCCGCTCTGAAAGCATGCGTGGCTCCACTGTCCAGTAGAGCCACACCCTCCTTGTCCAGGCCCTGACTCTTCAAGAAGAGGTTCACCGAGGCAATGGATTCATCCGTTTGGACTTGAAGTGGCGCTAACCTACGGATCTTCGCCAGGAATTGTTCAGCCAAATCCCTGATCTCTGCAGTTTGAGGCGGTGGTGGATCCTGGAAGAGGACGGTCGAAGCTGCCGAGGAGGATCCTGAGGAGGTGGTTGCCGTCGTTCCCGCAGAGGCTGGGACTGATTGAGGTTGGTTGGCTCCCAATTCAGGTTGTTCTTGTAGAGGTAAGGGAGGCTGTTGGCTCGAGGTTGTCATCGCTGCCATCGGAGGTGGTGAGGTTGGCTTTTCCCCAGATTGCCTGACAGGGCACTCCGACTGACGATGATTCTTCGACCCACAACTCCAACATCTTGAGCGTTTGTCCTCCTTTGAAGCCTTTGAAGTGAAGGCATGTGAGAACTTACATGTCGTTCCACGACGACACCCCTCTGTCCCATTCCAGAACTTGCACGGCGCCTTCTGACCCTTCGATGGACTTCCTGTCGGGCTCGTTGGACTTGACTCCGTTGTAATTCCCTTCAACTTTGGTTGCTCTCCACGAGTCAACGGGATCGCCTGCTGGAGCTCTGCCAAAAGGTGGTCCGAGTAGGTCAGGACTGAGGTCAAAAAGGGCCTGTATGGCAGCTGAAGTTCTTGCTTCGCCATGTTCAGCTTGAAAGCCATGTCCTTATTCGCCTCCACGATCTTCTTGGCAGCTCCATCAATGGCCATCAAAAGAACTGAACCATCCGGCAAGCTCACCCCCATCTCTCCCGCTCTTGTGACCAACTTCTTCCACTTCCTTAGCGCGCTTATCAACTCCAGTGGACTATCGGAAGTCGGAATGAACTCCAGCTGTCGTATCAGTGATGCCCTCTCCGATGTGCCTCCTGGTGCATAGATCGTGTGCAGCTTGAACACACAGTCCTTCGCCTTGTCGATCCGTAGCATCATGATCTCGGCCTTAATCTGTGGAGGCATCGCCTGAAGCAAGAGCCCCATCACCCTTTTCTCCAACCTGAGCCATTTTACATCGTCCACGAACTCGTTGTCATTGGCCCTGATCTTCAGCCTTTGGAGAGGAGTCTCGGTCTGGTAGGCCTGGTACGCTTGGATTGCCAGGTTCGTCACTGCCTCCCACCAGCTGCCAGCCTTATCGGTAAGGGGTCCAATCAACTGGCCCGTCTCATACATCCATTCCAAGAAGGCCACAGCGCTGGTATCCACATAGGCCTCTGGCATCTTCGGCAACTCAATCGTCCCTTTCAAGAGCTCAGGATCTTGGCCTTCCTTCTTCATCTGTAGAAGCTGTAGTTGTTGGATTCCGTGAGCCAACAACTGCAGCGGATCACTTTCCTTCTTTCCACCACTGGCCGCATCACTACGACCATCATCACGAACACCATCCCCTTCAGGTCGAATGTTCCCCTTGACGCTCTCATTCTCGGCCATCTGCAGAACTTGTTCTCCTGGAGGATGATGGGCCAGTGGGTTGGTTGGCTTCCCTGTACTGGTTTGTGTAGCACCACCGCCCAATTCACCACTGGGCAACTCAAACGAAACCCTCCTTTCCTGACCATCACCTTCTCTACGATAGGCTTCTAAACCAGGCGGGGCTGAAGATGCGGTTGCCGCTGAAGATACCACCACCTCAGGTTCAGGGACCCCTTGACGAAGTTGTCGAACATCCCCACTCATCCTTTGAGTTGTTGGAGTCTCATTTGCCCCAAGCCCAAAGCGATCTCCTCGTAGTTCCGTTGCACGACCAACCCCATCTCCCCGTAGCTGAGGAGTGGCTTGAAGGAGCTCCTGGAGAACTTGACGAAGGCCATCGTTCTCTTCCTGGAGCTGTTGGACCCTTTGGTCCCTTCCTTGAAGTGCCAGCTGCACCTGCTTTCGGACCTCCTCCTGAACCGCTTCCGGTGACACCGAATCACCTGATGACTGGCTCGGAGCACCAGTCGGTCCTGGTTGAATCAACGATGTTCGCTGCGTCCACTCACTCATGGCTTGGCGCGTCATTGGATCGAGCAGTGATCCAGTAGGTCCAGAGGGTTCTGCATGTGGAGTCTGTTGAGAATACCACGATGCCGGCGAGCTCATAGGTGTAGTTCTAGTTCTAACGATCTGAGCAGTTTCCCTCATGGGTTCCACCGCCCGTCTTCGGAACAGTCCACGTAGTCGCTCGTGCCACACCATATGCTCTTCACTCACTTCTTCTGGTAATCGCTCTCCACCTTCTGGATCGTAGCCCGCCATCTGGACCATTCTCCTTGCTCTCAACTGGACAGCTGAAACCAAAGCACTCCTCTGTTCATCCAACTGAGCCATTGCTTGCAAAGTCCCAGGATGATGTTGCGCCCCATGGGGAATCATCGCCAAGGACCGGGAATCATCCTCAACCTCCTGGCTGTTATCCACCAAGCGGAGCTGTGGTGCTACAGGTAGCTGATGCTGTTCAGTTGCTTGAGTCGGTCGATCCGATGGGGCCGAGACGTGGGTCACCTGCTGCTGAGCCTCAGCTGATGAACCTTGAACTGGTAGCTGCGGAGAAAATGCTCTTGGCGCTGTTGCTGGATGCTGCTGAACCAACCCTAAACCTGAGCTAACCCTCGTAGGATCGTGCGTGCTCGCGTCCAGTCCGGTTGTCGTCGCTCCAGGTCCGGTTAACGTTGGTTGTTCATCCATACGGCCAGAAACACCCACTCCACTTGGCTGCACACCGTTCATCATTGGTACCATCTGTTGCTGATCGGCCCTGCCAGGATTCAGGGTACCATAGTTCGCCAGCCCACTTGCTGTTCCCATAGTGCCAGCTGAACGTCCAGGTCCTTGTGTTCCTTGCTCGCCCTCCGCCTGTGGCATCATTGGGCTCATAACCTGTCCGGTTGGAGACCGGTGGTTATGTGATGCAGAGGGATTCGAAGCCATGGCATGAGATCGCAGCACTCCCAATTTTCAAGAACGCAACATCGAAAGTAAGATATGCTGTACATAGGACCCTTGCCTGTTATGCCACTTGATCGCCTTCATTGCCTTCATAGCTTTCATGGCCTTCATGGCTTCATGGCCTTCATGGCCTTCAGGCTTCTTTACACGTGTGGCTCATTCGGACCTGGTCCTCATGGCTGCAATGCGGTGGTGACATGTTTCACACCAACAGGGTCCTAAACGCTTCATCTTTAAACCCTGCAGGCTATAGGGTTGAGGTTTAAAGGCTTAGGGTTGAGTATTTAGGCATTAAGCCCACGCCCATAGAGTTTAAACCTTAAGGGTTTGAGGTTTAGGCATTTAAGCCCCGACCCTAAGCCCTTTAGGGTCAGAACCCGTTAACAGGTTTTAACTCTATAGGCACTGAAGGTATAGAGTCCCAGTCAGTAGGTTCTTTTAACCTTTAAGCTTTATAGGGTCTAAAGTCTAGGGCTTTTCAGGGTTTATCTTGAAGGTGAGGACCGGGAAGGGACATCACCAACTAGACGGGCTCGCGCGGTTGACACTTTTTCTATGGCGGCTGGGCGAAGATGCACGTGACTGCAGATCTACTACAAACAAGCTCAACAAGACGAAGCAAACAACCAATCAGGGTGTACTGCTCTACATGTTTCTTTACACTGTACACTATACAAGCTAGACATCTTAGAAAAACTTTCATGGCTCAAGAAGTTACTTCACAGCATGTTCAGACGCCTGACCTTGGACCTTTGGCACCTGACCTCAAACCTGTGACCTCTTGCGCCTGCAGATCGGCCTCGCCTGTTGGTGGGCTTCAACGGCCTGCACGGTATGCGTCACGGCAGACGCGGCAGAGGGTCTTAGAGGTTAGTGGCGGATTACGTCTTAAACCCCAACAAGTAGGGTCAAGGTGTGCACAATCCCCATGGTGTGTCAGGTAGTACGGGCCCTGTGGCACTTCGTACTGCGTGTGGATTTGAATGCGCGGCATCGGCGGGTCAGAGTTGGTAGAAGACTTGGGTCGGTCTGTGTGGCGATCTCACGCACAAGCGGCGGTGGTGATGAACGACGAGTCCTCGTGCAGGATGAGGACGCACGCTCTGCAGGAACTTGGGCTGCTTGTGCTGAGACGGCCTCGTCAGTTAACGGGCTTGAAGACACTGCGCCTGCTACCGGGGCGGCTGCAGAAACGTCCTCAAGTCTCATGCCCTACAGTTGTGCTGCCAGTTCGTCCTCAATAGACCGCTGCATGCGTCGCAAACGCCGGGCTCTACGGGACGATGCGTGGGCTCCAGCCCACCAGGCATCAACACACTCCCACACTTTCTTCCATGCCAGCCATAGCGTAGAACGCAAGAGACCCGTCAAGCTGAAGTTCATGGTCTCATCTCGGACACTCTCGGAAGGCTGGATTGTCAACTGCAACTGACGTGCTCGGCCTGACCTCTTGGTCGGCGTGGGTCGTCTCACCAACAGTGAAGGTTTGCATCCCCCAAAGCTGGACGAGCTCTTCTATCCGAGCTGAGGGAAGCGCCTTCGCGGCGAGCTGCTCGACCCCTGGGCAAAACACCAGCCGAAGTTCACCTGACTGAGTTTGCTCGCGGAGGAATTCCGCCCTCGCACGTAGATGGCGAGTCCGCCATGACCCATGCCCATTTAGGGCAACTGCACACTCAATCGATGCTATCAGCTCACTTTCGGCAGTTGACAACGTCACAAAGGCTTGTCTCTCAGAACGCCGCGCAACAACAGGGCAACCGAACAAGCAAACGCACCAGCCACCATGCGATCGAACGCCGTCGGGCGCAAAGCTCGCGTCGCTATACCCTTGCAAACTCGTCTCATCGGCAACAAAGTGACAAGTGCCGCGGATTTAGTTCTTTGAAGGTATGCGAGCGTTCTCTCGGCCACCCTCAGGGCTCTTTCGGGGGCTTTGCGTGACAAGCTTGCCAACAGCGACGCAGTGTAAGCAAGATCGGGCCGGGTCCTCTGAGACAACCACAGAAGTTCACCAGTCACCTGTTGTGCTTGGTGGACGGCCTCCCCATCGGGAGGCGTGGTGTCTCCCTCGCCGACTTCAAACGACGCAAGTTCTCGAGGACATGGGATCTTGCCTTTCACGTGGGCAGGCACGTTGTGCAACCTGAGGACTTCCTCTGCGTACGACTGCTGCGACAGGACAAACCCTTTCTCAACAACAAGGATGTCTACACCCAAAAACTTGATCGGCTGCTCTGGGGTTGCCACCACAAGCGGTGTTGTGGCCCACTTGTCTTGCAGCGCCTGTGCCAAGCTTCTGAGAACACCCTCCGGCCCACGCAACAAAAAGTCGTCAACGTAGACCAGCAGTGCACCTTCAACCTTATCATCCCTTACCCTAATGACCTTCCACCAGTTAGCGTCAAGAGTGGACTGCTCAAGCCTAAACTTGTCTCCTTCAAACTCCCATTCCAACACGCGCAAGCAAGAGTCACGAAACTGTCCCCACAAACGCGGCGCTTCACGGAGGCCGTAGACAGCATGGGAAAGAATCCATAACTCATGCGCAGATGCAAGCCCGAGTTTGATGAGTAAGCGGGGCGGAGTCAAGGCAAAGATTGGGAAACCCTCAAGATCTGGAATTGGGGTCTTGAGGAACGCGCTGGTGATGTCCAAAACACCCAACAACCAGCCAAAAAGACTGGCTAAGGCAATCACAGCTCTCAAGCTCTCGGCCTGTTCTCCGCCTGCCAGGTTGATTGTTGCTGGGCAATGGGTTCACGCAGACCATGCATGCAAGACCCGGGTCCGTGTCCAGACCTTTTTGAAGCAGAGCGTGCCCCAGTGAGACGCCGTATCACTGGCAAACACCCGCCGCCTGGCGAGGTAGGCCTGCTGACGCTGCCGTGCGTGTTGCGCAGCCCGCCACAGCTACGTGGGAAGAGTATGAGGCCAAAGGCAGAGCTTTGCTTGCAGACTTTGACCCTGACAGCGCCACCAACTTGTTGATGTTGATACGCCAGGACTTTCCTGAAGAGCAGAACAAAGCTGGCATGCACCGTTACGCAGCTATGGTAGGAACCTTGCGTGCCACGTGGTCCAAGCCGTGGTTGGCATCGTTGTGCGCCCGTCTCCTTGCGCATCATGCCCCTGACGCCACGTTTACCTCAGTGTATCTGTCCAACTCGCATCAGACGCTGCCGTCGTCTACACTTGGGGACAAACCAGCGTATCTACCTGAAATCCAACTCTCTGCAATCTCACCCTTTGCAGCTGCGACTGAGGAATATGACTTGGTACCCCGGGCAGCCTTCCCGGGACACTTCTGTTGGACTCCTAATGCCATCGATCACCCTGTTGCAGAAGCCTCTGCATCAACCGATGATGCAGTCCCAGGATCATCAGCCGGTGCATCCGAAGCCATGGTGATCAACCGTGACTCCACACTCAGGGTCATGCGTGCTGCATGTGTAGCACTTGGCCTAAGTAAGCATGGATCCAAGGCAACGTGCTGGGATAGGTTGGTGAGACACATGCGTGAAGCGGACTTGCTGACGTCCACCATCAGCTCCTCCTATCGCACAAACACCTGCCGAAGCTGATGTGAAGCAGCATGAGGTTACACATGAACCTTATCAGCCTTGGTGTCGTGCGTGTGTTCAATTCCGAGCCAGACAAGACAAGCATGCGTCAGAGGCAAGGCATGCAGACACATCACGACCAACCTTGAGTGCTGATTTCGGTTACTTTTCTAGGCGTCCCGATGATAAGGATAAGCTAACTTGTTTGTTCTTGCATGACAGGTTCAGCAAGGCATGCTATGCCATCCCAACTGAGCGCAAAGGTGGTGCCAGCCTGACGCACATGGTCACTGAGGCTGCTCGCTTTGCTATGTGGCTTGGCCATAAGTCCCTTCAGCTTCGTTGCGACAACGAGAATGCCATTGTCGCACTTTGCACAAGCCTTCAGAAAGTCCTTAGAGGTCTAGGTGTGGATGTGATCCGGGACACAGTGCTTGTTGAAAGTCACCAGAGTAACGGTCCCGCTGAACAGGTGGTCGAGATTGTACGACAACATGCTGCAGTGCTCATGTCGTGATTTGGAGCATGCGTGTGGAGCCAATGAGGGTCAGATCCTTTTCTCCACGCGGCATCCCATCTACTCGTGGGCGATTGCTCATGCTTGCTGGATACGGAATCGCTTCACAACTGCCAATGGAATGACACCGTATGAATGCGTGACCGATTCACCATACTCTGGCATGATCTGCAGGTTTGGTGAGTGTGTTCTTGCTTACTTGCGTCCGGAAGGAAAGTCAGCACCCAGATGGTGCCACGGCCTTTGGCTAGGCAAGGCAGCCTTGAACGACGCCCGCATCATTGGAACCAAAGAAGGCCTATTTGTGACCAGGTCAGTTCGACGATTCGATGAAGCCTTTGATTCCAAGCGTGCTGCTGAGTTTTCCGTGTATGTGTGGGAGCATGGTCTCGCAAGCATAGGTGGACAGCTGGTGTTGAGCAAGCGTCGTCCTGCCCCAACTGCTGTCCCGATCCCTGCGTCCGAGGAAATCCATGTTGCATCGTTTGGTGTGCCTCTTCCGAGCGCTATGCCTGAACCATCCCATGCCGGGGATGTTGCTGGGTCTGATGTCCTGTCACCCGTAGATCACCATCCTTGAGCATTGGTTCTCCGTCGCCCATGTCTGAAGGCCTCCCAGAGCCAAGTGCGCCTGAGTTACCGCCGCCGCCAGAGAGAGGCGGGGGTGGGGAACCCAAGGCCTACTACGACAGCTCGCGCCAGTGGAGAGGGTCAGATCTCGTTGGTCACAAGCACAGGTGAGGTGGCCTCCAGTGCAACAGATCTCTTGATCGTATCATGTGATGAGGTCCCATGCTTTGCTTGCGTCCGTCAGATTGCAGAGGGTGTAGACCAGAAGTTCGAGCATGAGGATGAAACGACGATCATAGGCGTTGATGATCAGTCACTCGACGATCTAGAAGAGTACGATGCCACCTTGCTTGAAGACCACAGTTCCGATCAAGCCCTCCGTGCAGATTTGTGTCTACCCAGACACAATGATCTTGAGCCTGAGGTAGATGCTGAAACCCTCAATCAGCTCGATGACATTGCTGACCAAGTTGAGATTGAGCGTTTGTGTGGCATGAGCGTTTTGCTGCCTGAGAGAGCCGCAGAGATTGAATACCCAGGGCAAACTGCCACATCCTTGACAACCCGCATGGTGCGTTGCTGGCGGGCCAAAGAGCTCCATGGGAAGCCGGTGTGGTACCGGCGTTCCCGGTACGTCGCCCGAGAGTTTGCTTGGCTATCGCAACGCCAAGACCTGTTCAGTCCTGCCTCGACAGCTTTGTGCAATCGCTTGTTGCCCAGCACGATGATGATCATGCAGACCCTTGGTGCCTTGTGTCGCTTGATATAGCCGATGCATATCTCACGGTACGGCAGACGAGGTTGGTCAAGGTGACACATAAAGACCAGAGGTATGTGTTAGGCAGGGTGCTACCGGGTCAAAGACCAGCCGCAAAGGAATGGTACGAGTCGTTTTCCAAATACCTTGATGAAAAGCTTTCCTACGAAAAGTGCTTGGCGTTGCCCTCTCTTATGAGATCCCCGGACCACAAATTTTTCATGCAGCTTCATGTTGATGACATGCTGGGTGCAGGATCGTACAAGCATTTCTGCAGCCTACTCTTGAAGCCAAACACAAAGTTTGTGTGCAGGTGATCCGGCAGCCAGGGGATTCACTGTCCTTTCTCAAGCGGCATCACACGCTTGTTGCTGAGGGTGAAATGATGCTTATGCCGTCCGATAAGCGCTATGAAAAGCTTTTCGCCTTGTTGGGAATCATTGACCGAACTGCGCGAAACCAAGACACCGTATCTGAGTCTCTTGGACGATGAAGACAACTCTCCGAAGCTGAGTCCAGCTGATAGCAGGACATTCCGGAGCGCCATCGGCATTCTGTTGTACCTCAGTGTGGACCTTCTAGAATGCCAGTGCAGCGTCAGAGCTTTGTCTTCATACATGATGTGTCCGACTGTCAATGCCATGACAGCCTTGCGTCATCTCGCAAAGTACCTCTCAGGTGTCAGGCATCAGGCTTTGCTCTTGCGTCGCACTCCAGGTGGTCTATATGTGGAGTCATACAGTGGCGATCAGTGAGCGCTGGGGTCGTCAAAGTGGGTGGTTCGCTCTTGTATAGTTCCAGTAGGACCCAGCGCATAATTGCGTTAAGCAGCGGCGGAACTGCTAGCAACCGCTAGCAACATCTGCGACGCCATGTTGGCAAGACAGTGCGTGGGTTTCCTGTCTCGCGATGTTCTTCCATGCGTTGTGCATCACCTCGATGCAACCGCGGCCAAAGGAATGCTTGAGCGAGCGCTCCGGAGTGGGGCGTGTGCGACATTTGAGCGTGCGCGTGCTTTGGGTGCAGTCACACGTTGAATCAGGTGTGATCGTGTTGAAGAAAATAGCTACCGCTATTAACCCAGCCGATCTTGGCACGAAAAGCTTGTCCCGTGCTCGCATGCGTCTCTTGCTGTACACACTTGGTGCATATGACTCGTTGCGTAACCTGAGTATCTGGAACTGCAGCAGAAACAAGTTGTCAAAGATGCGGTGAAAGCCGTGCGTGGCTCGAATCTTGAGACGAACAAAGCAATGATCCGAGCCGTTGTGTTTGCCGTTTGTAGCGCCTTGAGCCATGCTGCAGAGCCCAACACAGAGGCCATGCCCGTGCCTGAAGATGATGTGCCACCATGGGTGACGCGTCTCATCGTGTGGGTCATAGGGCTATGGGTGCCCGATGAGCATGGAGGTGCCATCCTCCGTGAACTTGGAAACAGCCATGTGTTTTGGATGGTCATGGGTGGCGTCCTCCTTATCATCTTCCACGTCTTTGCATCCTTGTTCAGCCATTTTGCCCGCCGTGGAGTGAGTGTTCAAGTTGTGAACACCAGTGGTGTGCACGTCGTGCTTGACGGAGGTGGTGAGCAAGCCGTGAATGTGCATGTCAACGTTGCCCCAGGCCCTAGCAACCCGTGTGGAACACGATCCAAGGCAAAGGCCAAACCTGGCCCACGCCAGGAGATGAATGCTGATGATGACAAGCTTGACGATGATGAAAGTGATGGCAGTGAGACCTTGTATGAGATGCTTGGCATGCCTACCAGAGTTGCCCGCAAGCGTGCGTTCCTCGAATGAACGGTGTTCACGTCCGAGACCGGACGTTGCTTCCACAAGTTGCAGTGCTTTAAGCTTGATGAGTGTGATCGCATCAAACCTCACAGCCTGGCGAGCGTTGCAGACAGTGGGAAGTATCGTGCGCGCGGTTTTGTGTTTACTCAAAGGTGTTTGTAGTTTGGGAACCATCACACTAACCGCGCCTCCTTGGTTCAAGCCACACACAACAGTGCAGAGCATTGCTTAGCTTGCTTCAGCTTTATTTTCAGCTTAATGCAGACACAACGGCATTGCGATACATTAAGGCTTGCTTGGCTTACTTTGAATTTCTTGTGGACCTCGGGCATTCTTTGGAAAATCTCTCTCTCAACTCTCCGCTGTTGAGGCAGTATATGCTCTTCGTTGCAGCCGTTCCCAGGACGATGATATGTCCCTTGATCGGGGCCAGATTGCTCTTGTTTTTCCACTCAATACCTTAAAGGCCTTGCGATGGTTGGTCAAAACCGTCAACCTGGCTTTCCCAGACCTTTATTCAGGCCTGTTCAGGGCTTTGTCTTCTCAACCATCTTCGGATCGCTCTGAGGCCATGCCACTTCCTTTGGATTTTGTGGCTTTTCTTGAATCGGTTGTGCTTGATCCGTCTTCTTCACAGGAGTTTGCCCTTTTTGCTGGTTCCGCCCTTGTTTGTATCTGGGCTTCGCTGCGCTTTGGGGACGCTTCCCATGTATCTTGGGCGGCTTTGTTGTTCGACCCTCAATCCCAAGTTATTCGTGGCCTTGATTACCGCACAAAACCTCTCGGCGAGGTATGGCTTTTGCTTTCCATGCTGAGGGCGTTTATGGCTTTTGGGGCATTCGCTCTTGGACTCACGCTGGGGGTCTTTGGAACAGCATTTTCCGAACGTGGTGCCTGACTCGCTCTTCTTTTGCTCCTCACTCATGGAAGACGCATGCGACTTCGTTTTTTGCCCTGCGTCGTATGCGTCGGCTTTGCGTAGCTTGCGCTCCGCTTTGAACCTGTGGGGTCGTTTGGGAGAGGATACTTCCCGTAACTTCACACTGCATTCGTGTAAGGCCACAGTCCTTTCCTGGTGTTCGCAACTTGGCCTTGGCGATATGGCACGCCGTGAGCAGGGACATCATCGCACCACTTCCGTTACTCTTTACGGTCGGGATGACACGCGTGCTGCCTTGTCCCTTCAGGCCTCGGTCTCCGAGCCACAGCTTTTGGTCAGGGAAGGTTTGGCGATCTCGGGCTTGGAGGTTCCTTTGCGGTTCAGGGGTGTCATTTCCGAGCATAGCGATACTGATCCTTTGCAGCTACCGGCACTGCCATTGGAACCGACTCATTCAACCGCAGACCCTGTTGTGACGCAGTCTTCTCCCGCGTCTGCGTCCCTTGAAATGGGGTTATCCAACCCACCTTCGACGCCTCTCGCTCACAACTCTGGCATTTTCATGGCCTCGACTAAAACCATACACAGGGCGGTTTCCTGCGAGGTCGCTTTATCGCAAGTTTCCTGGCATGGGACAGCATATAAAACAGCTTGTGGGGCTGTTGTTCGTACCGAATGGACAATACTTGCGGAGCTTTCGGGGCATGGGTCTCCTGTGGGACGCCGTGCACTTTGCAAAAGGCCTTCTTGCTGTGGCAGTGGCGTCTGCCTCTGAGCTCAGACTCCTGTTTTCGCTTTCGGTATAAAAACAGGGTTTGCTTCTTTTGGGACGCTGCATACTGCATGTTCTTCTGCAGCTTTCGCGCTTATTTTGCTTTTTCTTTGCCTTGCTTTTTTTTCAGATTCATGTCGGAGCTTGTTGAATCGGAGCTTCAGTGCTTGCTCGCTTTGGCCCAGCTTTGTGCTCTTACCTCCGTGCGGGGTAGTTCGGGACTTCAGAGCTTGTTCCCTTGGCCTCGCGCTCAGAGAGACTGCAGCGCCTTTCTGTTGCAGTGAGTACAGAGCGTTTTTCAGTGCTTCGCAGTTGCACTCTGAGCGTGTGCATGTGCTTTCATTTTCAGAGCTTTTGGCTTTGCTTCAGCCATCCCCAGCTTGACACTGGGAGTGTCGCTTTGCTTCGGTGGCTTTTGTCCACCCTCGCTCTCCCCTTGCAGAGGCCGAGGTGAACAAGGCTTTGGCTTGGCTGGAGGACTCGCGCCGCATGCCGTCAAACAGTGGTTTTTCACCAGCGGAGTGGCTGTGGCATTGGCTCTTGTCCACGCCAGCCTTTGCTCCCCACGGCGACGGACACGGTCTTTGGTTTTGGCTCTGGTGACTGGGCTTTCCATTGGGTGGAAGAGATGGAAAGGGCCACTCAAAACCCAGGCTCCTCGCCGGACCCGTCAGCAGCTCCAGCTGCACCTGCGCAGACTGCGTCGGAAGAGAAGTGGCCTTTCTTTCCGAATGGCCATCGCTCCCTTGGCCTTGCTCCTGCCGACCTCATTCAAGCGCATCTTTGCCTGGAAGAGGCTGCCTCATTCAAGGGTGATGGCGGCTGGGAGGCTGATGACTGGCTTCACTTTTGGATGGAGGAGGACCCGGCTTACACAGCTTTGGTCCAGCGCGCGAAGGAGGCTGGTCATGGCTGGAACATTGGCCAATGGCTTTGGCTTTGGGTTTCGCAAGCCGATCGACCCCAGCCGCCGCCAGCACCGCCTTTGGCTACGGGTTTGGGGTCAGATGCTTTCCCCCTTAGCCAGCTCAACGAGACGGTGACCGTCACCCAGATCTACTGTCGTTCGACGTGTCAAGACTGTGGTGTTGGACACTGTGGGGTTTCCCTCACTCGAGCAGACCAACCTCGTCGGCACCGCTGTAGCATTTGCTATAAAGCATCTAGGCGTGCCCAAGGCCAACCCTAACGACCGGGCACTGCTTTGGCTTTCGGCCTTTGGAAGCTTCCCCTCAACTTGGGCCTCTTTGGCTTTTGGAGGAAGGGGTACATAGAGCGCTTTTGGCTTTCACTTGCCGCATTTTCCCTCGGTAAGCTTTGAGCTGCTTGGGGCGCTTGGCATCGGAGCTTTGCCAAAAAAATCGGAGCTGAGGAGCGCATCCTTTCGAGCTTGGCATTTGCTTTACTTACACTTTGCAGTTTTATTTTGTGTGCTCTCGCGCCCAGGTCTGGCTTGTGGACAGTTGGCTCAGTCTTCCAGGCTCGCTTTCCACCAGCATCACAGCAGTTTCCTTTCAGCTTTATTTCCTTGATTTTAGGGGGGATACAGTGCTTTTCGCTTTACATTTTACTGCATGCCGCAGGGTGCGTTGGGCGTGTGTCTGCAGCTTCGCGTTTCTTGCTTTGCTTCCAATCTGCTCGCAAGAGGTACAATGGGTGACGTTGGAAACGACACGGGAAGAGGCCTGCTGGTGCAGCCTGCTCCATCAGACAGGCTTTCGGTGCTTTGGGAGTCTCTTAGCCTTGAGTTTCCCGAAGCCGTTGCGTCACATCCGGAGTTGAACCGCACCATTCGTAACTTTGGTTTCCTTGCAACCTCTTTTGCACAGTTGGATGAGTGGTTGGAGTCGCGCGGTCTAGTGGACTTCGGCTCTGAAACAGTTGCGGACCTTCGTTGTCTTTGGCACAGAGCGCATGCTTTGGCTTGTTCTGAGGGCCACATGGCGGCCGTACCTTTCCCGCCGCACCCTTCTGCTCTGCCTTTACCACAGGACCAGTGTTTCAGCGCAGCTTCGGACCCTTCTCATTCCGCACCAGGCGCAGCCTCTTGGAACGAGCCTTTTCCAGCTAAGCTCTCCTCAGACAAAACGGCAGAGCTTCGGTCCGCATTCTTGCGGAAGTACCCCAGCGAGGTGCTGGATGATTCCACCATGCCATCAGCCCGCCTCCTTGCCTTGGCTTTCAAACAAGCCTCATCTCAGGAGTGGCGTTTCATCCCTTGGCGTTGGCGGATGTCTGTGCTTGAGCTTGAGGAACAGCAATTGCAGCGGCCCCGTAAGCTGGCTAGGACCGAGCTGGCGGATTTGACTCTGGATGACGTTCCCTCACGAAACCTTCCAGACACTGGGCATGTTTGCACTCAGCAAAATTTTGCGCTTGCACAGTGTGGCAATGGCCATGGTCACCGATGTGCACTTGGTGACGCTTAAGAAATATGAGTCTACTTTCTTGCGTTTTGCTTCGGCCCGTTTTGATCACAGCAGCGGCCTCCGCCCACCCAATGCCTGGAGTGCGAGCAAGCGGACCGTCGCTTTTGGGAGTCCGTATCCGAGCTTCGCCTGCAAGGCTGGTCTTTGGACGATTGTATTCATGAGAACACGGCTGTGCGTAGTGAGCTGGCATCTCTTTTGGCTGCTCGTGTTTTCCTTCCCAAGGCTCTACGCCGCCCGGAGGGCAAGGGAGCGGGAAATGGCAAGAGCAATGGCTCAGGAGCCTTTGGCAACGGCCGTGGGCGTGACAAAGGCAAGGGAGAAGGCAAAGGTCGTGGGAGTGGCTTTGGCGCCGGTCGTGGGGGAACCGGTCTGGGCAACCAAGGCAACTCCGGCGTGGGCTCCGCAGGCCGTTTCAGCCAGCGACAGGGTGCAAAAACCCATCGTGCCGCTTTGAACACCTTTGCCCAGTGAAGCTTCCCAGCGGCAAGATTTGTTTGGGCAACCATCCGGCTTGGCAACACACCGACACCCCACATTGAGGGGGACCGGACCTGTCTTTGGAGCAGGCAGCTGGGTCCGGTCTGTCTTTGTCCCCGCCTGCCTTTTTTTTGCTGATGATGCCTTTTCACTTTCCCAAGGTCTTGTCACTCATGTGGCCTCTGCTTTGGCGCAGCAGGACTTTCATCTTCCTCAGCCAACGTGTCCCGGAGGGGCGTCTGGTGCAGAGGTGACTCCTAGCGCATATCAGCCTTTGGCCTTACCGCCCCAGCAGGGAGAGCCACAGGCGGCCGCACTTGCTCTTCAAGGCTCCGTACCCCTGGACAGGCCTCTTCAGGCTGCCAGGCCCCTTTTGTGCGGGGGCTGGCGCCGTCGTCAGGACCTCCTGGTAGCGTCAGTGCCTGGGCCTTTCCCTCCAGTTTCACCACAGGTTGCCTCTGTTATGCAGTCCGTTCGGGATTTGAACCAGCCTTTCTTTTTGGACGTTTGCGCAGGAGCCGGCTCTCCTTTGAGTTCGGCTTTCCTCGAGCAGGGGGTGTGTCTGTCGATAGATGTTTTGATAGACGCAACCATGGACCTTCTCCGGGATGATTTGTTTGAGCACTTGCGCATTTGCACGTCTCGCCAAGTGGCTCTTGCGCACGCTGCTCCCCCGTGCAGAGAGTACTCCCGCTTGAAATTTCTCCCTAACGGGCCAAAAGCACTGCGAACGCCGTCGTTTCTGAATGGCCTTCCCAACCTTTCAGCGTCCCAGGCACTTAGGGTTCAGGAGAGCCACTTGGTCTTTGTGCGTTGTGTCCAGCTTTTACATGTTTGCTTTTCATGCGGAGCTCAGGTGTCTTTGGAACAACCCCCAAACAGCATGGCCTGGCTTGAGCCGATTGCAGCCAATTTTCTGGCATCGACCAGTGCCGATCTGGTCCATATGGCAGCCTGTGCTGTCGGCCTTAACGTGCACAAAGCCTGACTTTTTGCCACCTCCTTCAGGGCTTTTCAGGCACTTGCCTCGGCGTGTGAGCACGCTCAGGGAACCCATGTATCTCTACAAGGATTGCGTGATGAAGCTGGCTTTGCAGCCGGGCATCAGCGGAATACCCCTCTCGTCTGGCTGACATGTATGTGGAGCAGGCCCTGCCCCTCTTTGACACCGGGCATGGGTCGGGCAGTGCCCTTTCTCTTACCTCGGTGCCTTTGCTCTCCAAACCCAAAGCACTACACGAGGCGCCTGTGGCCTTGCAGGATGGTGCCGGCATTCATTCAGTGCCAGACTGGAGTGTTCCCCCTTCCGGAGCAGCAGACGTTTTCTCACGCCTGCGACCTAAGCTTATGGCTTTCCTTCTGCAGAGTCGCTTTCCGCAGCGTTTGCGCACTTTGGTTTTGGCGGGATCAGGTGAGGCCTTGTTCTCAAGTTCTGAAGTGCACAGCTTGCGTTGCATTTTTCAAGATTGGCTCACGACCCAGTCCCCCGGCACTGACATCTCATGGGAGGTGTCTCCTGGGCAGCCGTATTGCCTTCAGGCGCTGCATGTTGTTACGCGCATTTGCCAAGACCGTGACGTTTCCCTTTTTCCTTGCCTGCAACAAGGTGTGCCCACCGGCTTTGACGGCGACATTCCTTTGTCCAACGTCTTTTTGCCGCAAGGAGGAGGTCATCCTTTTGAACAATCCCTTGGCATTTGTCACGGCAACTGGTCAAGCGCTGAAGCAGACCTTCCAACTTTGCATGCCTTAGTGGAGGAAGAAGTCGCCAATGGCTGGCTTTTGGAGCTGGACTCCCTGGAAGCAGCTCAGGAGCGTTTTGGCGATAAGCTGGCCATTGGAAAGATGTCCATAGTCAAAGCCGAAGGGAAGAAGCCTCGTCTCGTAGTTGATTCCACTGTATGTGGCACTAACCCTTCCTGCACCATCCCCGAGACGTACACACTCCCAGGAGTTGATGATGTCAGGGAGTCGTTTCCTCTGCGACTTCATTCCGGCATGTGCGCAGGTTTTGCTTTTGACGTCAAATCGGCCCACAAGACAGTCCGAGTTCATGACTCAGATCAGGGCCTCCTCGGAGTTTCCCTCCCAAAGATTCAGGGTTCCGGCCGTCGCTGGCTTTTCTACCGCGTTTGCCCATTCGGGGCGAACTTCTCGGCCCTGTGGTTTCAGCGCCTTGGGAGTACTGTTTCAAGACCAGGAAGTCATTGGCCTTGCAGCTTGCCTAACGCTGGCTTTTTGCGCGTTGTTCAAATGCCAAGTTGCAACTCGGCAGCTGTGTCACTTGGATTGGCTGGCATTTTTCCTTTGGCTCTGGCACTTTCTGTATCCCTGCAGAAAAAGTGCGGAAGTTGAAGCGTCTTTTGCAAGAAGCCTTGGAGGGCCGCCATGTCTCTAAACGCACGCTAGATAAGGTCACGGGGTTGCTGCAATGGTTTTGTAAGTTGTGCAAGCACTTCAAGCCCTGGTTGCAGACTTTGTACGCGGACGCCAACCGTCCGCTGGCCACCAATTACAGCATCGCTCCTGGCGATTGGCCCGGCCTGGCCATTTGCGTTAACGAAGGGCTTGTTTTCACTTCCACGCCACCAGGCACCAGCATTCCTACAGGCTCCAAGCTCATTGAGGCAAGGCGTTTGGCCCTGCAGTCTAAAAAAGACCTTATCAAAGTCGAAACCTCGAAGCGCATTTGGATGAGGGTGACGGACCCATCTACCACTCGCCGTAAGCTCTGTGCTTCAAGCCGGGAGAGCCTTGAGTTTTGGCTTACGTGGTGCGAGGTTCCTCCTCTTTTCTTTCCTTTGCAGAAACCTGCAGACGTTCCCATTGTTTGCGCTGCCGCCGATGCACGTGCAGATGGGGATCTCGTTGGGATAGGTGGTTTTATTGAGTGGCCCTCACATCAAGTGTCGTGGTTCAGCCAGTCCTGGCGTGCTCGGTCTCATTCTTTGCCTCCGCTCGGTGGTGCCTCTGGCACGTTGGACGGTCCGACTTCGCACTCTTTCAGACAACACATGTGCAGAGGCAGGTGTTAATGAGCGTTACAGCTCGGCCTTTCCTTTGTCAGCATTCCTGAAGCGGCTGTCAATGCTGGCTTGCGTGACTGGCATTGAGCTTGACGTTTTTCACATACCTGGTGAAAAGAATGACGATGCAGACCTGCTCTCTCGTTGGAGTGATGAGTCACTTCCTTTGCCTGCTAAGTTCCACCCAGACTTCCGAGTGGATTGTAGTGGCCTGGCATAGTCTGCGCTCACTTAAAAGTTGGGTAGGTAGGCCCGGCGAGCTTTGACTTTGCCAGTTTGAAATTGGTCGTATATGCTTTTGCTGGCTAGTGGTAGGCTTTGCTTGCTTTCGCCTTTACTCTGAGCTGCTTCACCGGCAAAGTCAAAACAAAGGGCCTTCAGCAAACTGAGCCGCAGCTTCAAAGGGTTAGCTTCTGTAGCTTGGCTTTAGCTAGCTTTTAGGGCTTGGCTTTAGAACAGCACTTTGTGTGTGGCGTACAAACTATGAACGGTTTTTGTGTTTACTCAAAGGTGTTTGTAGTTTGGGAACCATCACACTAACCGCGCCTCCTTGGTTCAAGCCACACACAACAGTGCAGAGCATTGCTTAGCTTGCTTCAGCTTTATTTTCACCCACCCTCCTCTCCCAGAGGTGGATACTATAGCTTGTTTTTCACGCGTATGCTTGAGAGGAGTTCAGACAGGTCTCACTTTTCGCTTTGGCGATCAGGGCATTCACAGTGCGTTTTACAGCTTTCCACTACTAGCCAGCGGGTATGTTCTCATGTACTTGTTCTGCTTGGTCGTATATGCTTTTGCTGGCTAGTGGTAGGCTTTGCTTGCTTTCGCCTTTACTCTGAGCTGCTTCACCGGCAAAGTCAAAACAAAGGGCCTTCAGCGAACTGAGCCGTAGCTTCAAAGGGTTAGCTTCTGTAGCTTGGCTTTAGCTAGCTTTTAGGGCTTGGCTTTAGAACAGCACTTGTGTGTGGCGTACAAACTATGAACAAGAAGTGCAACCCGTGAAGTCTTGTGAAAATGCTCATGATGCTATGGCGTCAAGTGCCATTGTACATACCTTGCGCTGTACATAGCTTGAATGGAGCTGCTGTGCACTTCACTTGAAGTATGTTCACTTGAACTATTAACTCCGTGCAATCAGTTGCAAAACATCTTTGAGCAGATTTCGCAAATCCGAATACTGGTGATTTGACATCACTTGATGCCACATAGGGCATCCCAATCTTCGCGATGCAACAGCCATGCGCGTCCACTCCTCATCTCATGCCTGATTTGAGGGAGTGAAGGAAGCCTCTGCGTGCACCGTAGTTACACCGTAGTTTGTAGTTGTACAGTTGTTGAAGTCCACAGGAGTCAGCCTGCGAGCCAATGACCGTTTAACGGCAGTGCTCATTCACAAACATGTAGTCGCTTTTCACGGGCGGGAGCTTCACAAACTAAGTTGTGCTTTAACATCTGTACCGGCATTAGCTAGTTTCGCTGGGCGAAAGCTGTGGCCTTGGAGGTCAGAAAGTTTCTCAGAAAGTACTGGAGAAGTTGGACTTCTCGGGGTACTTTAGGCGGGGTTAAACTTTTCTGTACATGTACACACCCTTGTTTTCCATGCCGGGACAGTCGTGTTATTTTGTGTTGCTTGGTTTTGCTCCCTGTAGTTTGAGCCCAATTCGTTTGAACCGCTGCAGGCGCTTTGACTCATGAGAAAAGAAACAAAAGCTCAGGTGGAAACTCTGCTGCGCGAAGGTTTGTGCGACAACGCGTTTTGAGCCATCTAGTTGCGCGCTGCGGGGCATCACCCTCAGTGGTGGTAACACGAATGGCTTGTAGCCATCTCCTGGCAGCTTTGTTGGAAGGAGACTTGTTGTCAAACAGTGGGACACAGAACACCAACCTCTCAGACTCAACAGGCTCTTTGAGATCCGAGTGCTCACGCTCCCAATCCCCCTCCTCATGTCCCGGCACCTTAGGACTCTCATCATGCTCCTCCTCCTCCTCCTCTTCTTCTCCCCCAGCAGGTGGACGCTCGGCCTCACCTCGTGTGGCTCCTTCACCTTCTTCATCGCCTTCTAGGAAGCGTTCCTCCTCCTCAGAAAGTGGTCCTACACCACCTTCTACAACTTCAAGCTCATCCTTTGGCTACTTCTTCCAGAGGGTCTTTGCCAAATGGGCATGCCATGCAAACGTGGGAACCGATGGGTGGCAGCAAGAAAATACACCTGGCATGCGCAAAGGCCCGCAAACATCCGCGGAAAGAGTGTAATGGGCAGGGTGCACAACCCCTGTGTGGCAACGCCCAGTGCCTGCAGTGCGAATGCAAACGGAGCAGTCCCTTCGAAACGGGGTATGGTTGCTGCGGACATGCTCACGCCACTCCTCCAAAGATGCCTTTGAAACCCTATACCAACCATTCCAGTTCTTAATGGCGGCAACAATCGCTCGGATGAAACCTGGAGCCCATTCTGCGAGATCTGAGGACTTGCCCTTGTACGGCGGTTTACGCGGCAGACCCTCAAGGTTTTCCAGTGTGGGCATGCGGCAGACCGGGAGACTGAATGAGAGGACTCGGCATCCAAGCAGGCGGAATTGTCTGCACAGCTCCACCACCGCCAAACAAGGTGCAGGCGGGTTGTGCCCTGAAATGCCTGGGATGGCATTGGCTTGGGAGCTAGCCATTCCACTTGCGGTGGCCACACCTGGACCCTGTACCTCACCAGTTGCATCACCATGCACCCCACTCGCATCAACGACATCGCCGGTAGATACTGCACCACACGTAGCGCCAGTTGTACCCAAGCTTCCAACCTGACTCGATGTTCCATCGCCTCCTGTCCGGACTTCCTGTGGCAGCTGAGGGGTTGGCGCCGAGAGAGCTGTGAAAGACGTTGGCCCTGACGACGCGCTGATCATTGTAGTTTGCTGAGCTTCACCCCCACTGGGCTGCTCGAGTTCAGTCGGCTGTGATAACCCAGCTCCGGTTGCTGCGACTGCTGTTGTACCATTGACCATAGTTTGCGACGCATCTCCTCCCCCCCGCTCATGCTGAGAGGCTAGAGATGACACCGCTCCGGCGTCATCTTGCCCAGGCGTTGGGCTCAGCACCTCTTGAAGGTGAGGACCGGGAAGGGACATCACCAACTAGACGGAGCTCGCGCGGTTGACACTTTTTCTATGGCGGCTGAAGATGCACGTGACCACAGATCTACTACAAACAAGCTCAACAAAGACGAAGCAAACAAGCAGAACAAACAGCCAATCAGGGTGTACTGCTCTACATGTTTCTTTACACTGTACACTATACAAGCCAGACATCTTAGAAAGACTTTCATGGCTCAAGAAGTTACTTCGTAGCCTTCTCCTACAAAGAGCCCAAATAGCAACATATACACTTGCCTACGTCTGACATGCGGGAGAGTTTTCAACAGTTTATCGTTAAAACCTTAAGGGTTAAAGGTTTAAATGCCTAAGCCTGAGGCGTAAATTCCTAGACCTTATGCGGTTAAACCTAAGGTCTGGGCATATATACCTTCAGCGCCTATAAGGTCAAAACGATGAACCTTGATTGAACCTTTCAGGGCCCGGTAGGGTTTTAGGGTTCTTTCTGACCATTAGGCTTTGAGGTTTCCATACCTGAACCTTAAACCTTTAAGGTTTCAACTTTATGGGCTTAGGTTTATCCAATTTCGGCCCAGTTTCGATCCAGTTTTGGTCCAGTTTCATGAAACTGGACTTACTGGTCTTCAATAGAAGTTTCAGTGGCAGATGATTCGCTATACACGCCACCCGTCGTTTCGCCCTTCAGCGTTTGAGGAAAAACACAGCCGCAAGACACACGTTTAAGGAGCAAAATACACATAAACACTAATTACTGTTTTTTGTTGGGGATAATATAACATCGCCTTTTGTTTTCAGTATAGTTTTTACTGCATTTTTGCAAGGAGAAACACAATTTAAATTCAAGCAAAGACGAAGACAGCAAAACCGTAGGTGTGGATCATGGGGGGGGGACCATCTACATATATATATATATATATATACATGTCCACATCCAACTGAAGGGCACAAGTGAGGCCAGAAGTACGGGCACAAATGATGGAAGGACCTTCGTATAAACCTCGCATGCGTATTTGCAATGACGTGCATGGCACATACTAGGTGATGCTTTTGGGGTGACTTATTAGTTGCGGAAGCCTTCCTGACCAGGCGGCAACATGTCCTAGATACTTTGCAACGCCAGGTGGCATCTGAGGCAGTTGGCTGCCCCCTGAGCCAGCACAGCACAGAAGTGAAGCGTCACATGTTCAGGTGCCACTTTCATTTGGCTTTCCTGAGGCTATCCGTCGGTCCAGATGCAGTCCGCACTCACTTCCCTCTATGGTGCCCAAGCGACGTCCTTGTTCGGGTCAGGCCAGCAGCTCCCAGCAGCTCCCAACATAGCGCTTTCATCGTGTTCCATTGAATACACGTTGAATACACGGAGCGCGGTCAGGTGCACAGGGCCTCCCCTTTGCCTCTGTGAACTTCCCTTTCAGCCTGCCAGGAACGGACGAAAAATGACGAAACCCACTAGACGGAGACCTTCGTAGTTGCGACCTGCCAGGTGCACAGGCGCTGATACCTCAGCCGCAGCTTGGTCTTTCGGATGTGAAGGCGTGGGGGAAATTGGAGGGGAATGTCAGAGGGGTGAAGGTTTGGCGGAGCGATGGTTTTTGTTTGCGCTGCTGGTCGTCCTTGACTCCTCCGCGATGCGACGGGGATCTCAATCCATGAAGGAGGATTTGTGAGTCCAATAAAAAAAACTGCGGCAGTCGTTTCAATGGTTAAGTTTGGTTGCACTGGGCCAAAGCTGCTTTCAGACAAAGTTGCCCTAAATAGCTTGCGAAGACAGACTCTCCAGGAGGACAGCGACCCAGAGGCTCTGGAAGTCTGGAAGTGTTGCGTTGAAATTGTGTTGACTGGTGTAATGTGCTTGACTTTCCATAGTTCTTCGCAGTCTGAGTTTTTACTTCAATGTAGTATCCTTAGTACATTGTGTATTCTCTACACTCAGCTCGTGTGGTGCTCTTTTTCGCAGAGGAAGATCTGGCATCCGGCTCAGGCAGGCATCCCATCTCGGTTGGCAGGTCCATTCTTGAGATTTTCTGAGGGGGCCGAGACTTCCTTTCTGAACCACTGCGGGACCACGGGCTTTGCACCTCTTGAATCCTGCCAACGCTGCGAGAGTACATA